GAGCCTGGCCCGCCTCCGCAGTATCGTCAACTGATTTGCCTGGCTTGTGGGATACATTTCAGCTCTTTGGATAACTTGACGACTCATCAGTCTTTCTATTGCACAAAAAGAGAGACCCGATCGCCTCGAAGTGCACCCGAAGTGACTCGGCCTAGCTCAGGTCCCGAAGGCGGATGGAAGTGCCCGTGTTGCGAGGTGGTGTCGCCGACGGCGGTGGCGGCGCAGCGGCACATGGAGGCGCACGCAGGAGTCAAAGCGTTCCGCTGCACCATTTGCCGGTACCGCGGCAACACGCTGCGCGGAATGCGCACGCACATACGAATGCATTTCCGTGAGAAGCCCTCTGATCTGCAGGTTAGTTATTTAGCAAGTTTATTAATTTAAAAATCACGTTGTTGCTCAAATGATACCGTTCCAAGATAGAATACTGCAAACGACAACTTTTTGCCGTATTCTTCAAATGATTACTACTACTAAATTTATTTTTCTTTTTAAAATTGATCATTTTATGTAATTGAAATACTATCAGCATTGTGTAACAGATTTCTTATCTATTTTTCAGGAGGAAAGCTTCATATCTTGCGTGCTAGAAGAAGAGAACCGGGAGACGACATCGCCTAGTGGAGCCGCGGTGGGTGGCGCGACAGGCGGCGCGGTGGGCGGCGTGGCGAGCGGGGAGCGCGTGCACCGCTGCGGCAGCTGCGCCTACACGTCCACGTACCGCGGTAACGTGGTGCGGCACGCGCGGCTAGTGCACGCCACAGAGGAGCCCGACCCCGAAGAGAACACAGCCTCACTTCCCGCCACGCTTCCCACACTCGACATTAAAAAAGAACCCGAAAATGATATAGAAGAAACTCCCAACCACTGCAAATCATGCGATATATCATTTAAGTACGTAAACACATTTAATGCTCACAAGCAATTCTACTGCCCCGCCGCGAAGTCGCGCGCACAAGATTCTCCCGCCAACAACAACGTGCCCGCACCTCCCCCCGCGCGAGTCACTGACACACCCGTACTATAGACGTACAGTGTTGCTAGTTTAGGATAATAGAATAAAAATCAAGTTATGTTTTTTAAAAGTACCAGCTTGATATACGCTGGCTTAAGCTTTTTCGTTGCAAAGATACATGTCCAGAAAAATCTTTTATTCTTATTCTAATATTCTAAATTATTGATTTAACGTATTTTGATAAGCTGTTCGATTTTATAATGCTGGTAAAAGAAAATACTAAAGCTTGACAAATATTTTCCTTAATAATCATTATAATAGGTCAGTAAGTGTTGTATCCTCTCATTTCTTTTAAATAATACATAAATAATGTGCAATAATATAAATTGATTGATAAAATGATTAAATTAAGAAACTTCTGCATATCAAAGCCAAATTGATGTTTTGATGATTGATATATCGATGTAACATTGAGCGAAATTGATGAATGAGTGAATGAACGATAACAATCTCGGTCACTGTACATAGAAGGCCACATGATTTTTGTTGTTAATCTTGTTATGTAAATCTAAACTTCCTTTGTCTTAGTATACGTTTAAATACCAAACTGTAAATACTTGTAAAGATATTATCGCGTCGTAATTAAATTTTATTACCATTTGTTCTAAGTAATTGTTCTCTCTTTGTTGTTAATTTTGTTTAATATTAAAAATTAGTGTTAGGGTGAATTTTATCTACTCGTCAGAAATGCTAGTGGCAGATTTCATTTACCTAATGGTTAAAAATACTATAATCTGTAATTCACTGTAATACCTATCGATTGAATTGAAAACATAGTTTTCTTATGGATCTGCAAACTAAATATTTAAAAATAAACAATAGTAAAAAGCTGTTTTCTCATAACTTATCTATCTGATACTGAATTAAATTATCTCCTAATAAATCTATAAGGTGTTGCTACAACAAAATATTGTAATGAAAAACATTTAGAAAATAATCTTTGATATCGCTTATGTATTCAGAAAACAATTCACATTGTTAAATAATATTAACCAATTGAATTTATTTTATAGAAATATAATTATTCTCCGCGTTTCTAGATTATGAAAAATACCATGTTTTGTCAATGCCAAAGCATCGCTAGAGTAATTGTAATTTGCATTTATAGATATCTCATTAATTATAATTATAGAATTAAGTAAATACAAGACTTATTCCTTAGATATACATGTTACGTGTATTCAATTGTCTTTGTCTGTTCTTTTTGGAATAAGTCTCGAATTCCCAAATCGCAAAATAAGGGTACAAATTGAAGATATCTGTTAATCTTCCAATTGTGACGTTAACTGTACAGTCGACGATAAAAGTGTTTCAACTCCTTTGCAATCTCAGAACATGAAAGTTTTATTTAAAGTTTTAATTTATTTTATTTGTTAAAGACACTTTTCTCCGCGACTGTACATGTCTTCCTAGACGTAAACCATCATGACATTAATGTTATTGTATCACTGTGGGCTTTCACTGTTAATTTCATTATCTAAAAAAAGTTTTGGATATTATTTGACAGTGGAATCACATCGTAATGTTCAGCGCGAAGCATAGCATCTGATGTGACGTGCCATATCGCTGTGTTTTTAAAATAGTTTTATTTAAACGTGAAGACTCGAATATTATGGCAATATGTAGAAACTGCATGAGTTTTTAAGGGTGATTGTAACAAAATTGACGCTAAAAATTGGGCAATTAATACGTAAAAATATTAATTGTATAAGTTGACAATCTTCTATAATATATAATCCGTAAGATTTTTACCGCTCCTCTCAACTGCAATACAAAACCAAAAGTCACCCGCGGTCAAGGCGACCAGCGTGGACGCCTCACCTCGCCCTACGTTAACGCCGCTACTCCTATTAGGTTATTGTTCCATATTCACCCTTAAGTTCTTGTGTTTAATGAAAATACATCAATAAAACCTAATAGCATGTTGAGTGATAATCCATATAAAATGATGTAGACATACATTGATATTGTAAAATACGCCAGACAATAAATTATTTATCACATATTGAATATGTGTCGTTATTTACCCTATTACCTAAAAACTTTACAGTTACTTAGTGTTACTAGTACGCATCTGCAAAAGTGGACCTCTATGAGCAGCGGTAGCTTCATTATTTTGGCGAATACGGGCAGCCGCTTGCTCGTTTATACATTTGTATTATAAAAAAAAATAGACTAGAAACAAGAACATGTATTAATTGCTGATGACTTAGGTGTCTACCCCCTCCCCCTCTAGAGAATTGAAATATAAAAAACTACTTCGAACAAGACAATGTTAATGATAGATGCAGTCCCTAGACGTGGCCTAGATCTTCATTTGTTGATTTTTTGATATTTGTGATGATAACTGTACTGTACAGTAACTGTACAGTCGATGATAAAACTGTCCCGACTCCTTTATAATCTCAGAACATTAAAGTTTTAATAAAAGTTGCTATTTATAGCTTTACTAGCTTTCTACCGTGGAATAAAAAAACAAAAGTGAGTAGCGTGTTCTTCCTCACTATGCTCTACTTCTATGCCAAATTTCATCGAGATCCTTTCAGCCGTTTAGGCTACAAACTCTAACAGATATCCATCCATCCATCTAAACTTTCGCATTTAGGATAACATTAGTAGTAGATGGATGGATGGATCTTTATGCCTGTAGCCTAAACGGCTGAACGTATCTCAATGAAATTTGACATATATGTAGAGGATAGTCTGGAAGAATACATAAGCTACTTGGTTTGTTTTTTTTAATACAACGCGTGTCGCGGGCGAAAGTTAGTAGATAAATAAAACAAAATTGAACTGCATTAAAAGGTTTTATTGAAATTTACAAGTTTTGTCATTTAAACTGCGAAATTTCTATAGAAAAATGTTCTAAAAGACGAAAAGTATTCTTTACTTAAATATATTAATAATTTTTTGGATAATTCTTTCTGTATACTTTATAACAATAAAAAGAGTAATTTATGATATAAATGTTGATAAAATTTAAAGTGAAATACACAATTTCAATCAGGACTGTACTCGTCCGATGAATCAGCATACTGCTCTCGGAACTGTTCTGAATCTTGGTCTTGTCCGTAATAGAAACCATCATCACTATCTCCTTTATAACCGTCAATTGACTCTTCATCGAGGTCTTTTACCTTAGTACAATGTATTAGACTTCTACTATCTGGTAGATCAGTCTCTCCCATAACTCGAGCTTTGTATTTAGCATACGCTGCACCATATCTTTGAACATCTTCACTGAACAGATCTGGCGGATCATCGTAGATTTTATCCTCACCTGTATCACTTGAAAGTTCATCTTCTGGAAGGAATTTATAAAAGAAAGAAGTCATTTTTTTATAATATAAGGTGGCAAATGTGCAAGTGGCCACCTGAATCCTCCGAAATAGAAAGCGACCGCTGCCAATAGACATACGCAATTGCAGATGTGTTGCCTACTCTTAATTGACGTATGAAACATGAGCAATTATTGTTAATTACTTTAAAACAAACACTAAAGTCAACAAGGGCAGAATGATGAAGTATCCTAGACTAGGAAGACAGTTAGATTCATAGAGTAATTAAAATTATCGAATAAAATTCTATAAGTACCTAAATCACAATTTTCCATAGCCTTTATCATATCTTCTTCATTGATACTGCTTGCTTCCGAGTCTGGGTATTCATTTCTCCAGTTATTCTCATCATTGGAGTCATCATCATCATCAGCTCCATCATCGGACGGTGCCTCGCCATTTGCTCTGTATGAGTCAAAAACTAGATCTGTCTCATAATTTTCGATGCTGAAAAAAGACAATAATCACACATACGATAACATTAAAATTACTATAAAAGCTATTAAATATTTATACTAATACCAACTTTCGCTCGCGACACCGTCCGCGTGTTATTTAAAAAAAAAGACAAAAATGAATACTCTATGTGTTCTTCCAGACCATCTTCTACATCTATACCATTACCATACACAAATTTCATTGATATCCGTTCAGTCATTTAGACTACAAACTCTAAAAAACATCCATCCTTCCAATCCATCCATCCATCTATCCATCCATCCGTCCATCCATCCAAACTTTCGCATTAATAATATTAGTATGAAGTGATTATAAATGTGAAAGTTTAGATGGATGGATGTTTGTTAGAATTTGTAGCCTCAACGGCTAAACAGATTTCGATGAAATTTGGTATAGATGTAGAGGGTAGTCTGGAAGAACACAGGCTGCTCATTTATGTTTCTTTTATTTCCACACAAATTGAGTCATGAGCGATAGCTAATTAATTAATAAATTAAAAACATACATTATAAAAATACTGTAAATTGATTCATATATCTTCACTACTAGCTCCATCTATTACCATTTTACAGGAACACAAAACATTCAAATCAAAAGGCAATCAAATGGTTACTCTTGCACAGAAAACATAAATAAATGCCAATTTACCTGACTAAATTATCCAACATAGAAACATCAAAGTCAGGCTTTGCTGAAGTATATAAATCATAAGTGAAACCAACTTCTTTCTCTTTTTCACCAGCTCTGGCTAAATCTACCAAATGGAAGAGATCTTCACCGCTCACATCTTCTTTCAGGCCTCTATGACAATTCACTACTTCATAGCGGTTCTCTGTTGACACATCTTTTCTCTCCTTACGTATCTTTTGTATGATGTCAGCCACATTTGAAATAGGTTTTTGTTTGATGTCCTCTTTTGGTACCAAATCTTTTACAATTATCTGCTCCTAAGAAAAGTATTAATTCTATTGGTACATAATAAATAAATGGTAATATATTCATAATTTGCAGTTTTCAGCAAGTACTATTTCAAACATTTTGGTCAGGACTAATAACTAGGATCAAAAGTTTCGAGAATCAATGTCAATGCGGGACCATCGTTATTGGTTTCATGTGTTTTTCTAAGTTAATGAAATAAACAACATACCTGATTATCAACAGTTCCTCTGAAAACGAATAACGAGGGTGAAATCTCCTCACTGTCGGTTTTTACTCGTTTACATAGAAGTACCAAAGCATCCTGAGGATTTTCCTCTAATCTTCTTTTAACTCGTAAAACAGTAGAAGCAGACATGATCGATAGATAATTTACTGCTCGGTCTTCGAATCTAACAAGGATTTATTAGTTTCTGTTTTGTACATTAAAAATAAAAACACTCCGCGACGCACCGATCCTAATAAATCAAACGTCAATCACACTGACAAATGTCAAAGATTTTTTCATGTAGCAAGGAAATTATAAAAACATTTTACTCTTTGTAGAAAGGGGGAGTTAAAGGTGTTTACATGTTCTTTGAACGGTGACGGAAACAGTGAATCATGACGCACTAATGTTGCTAGAATAAGGTAAATCTCCCTAAGTCTTGCAAATCTTTGCAAATGAGAGTTCATAAAAGATTAATCAATTTCTGTGAACCTCAACATCTAATAATTGTAAACTTTATGTTCCCAAACAGGGTTGCAAGGGGTCCCTTGCAATAACTTTTAGACTTACTTACTAAAATAAATATTGCTTGTTAAAAAAATGAAGTAATGAAGACGAATCTGTATTTTCTAAGTGCAGATTGCAGAACCATGGCATTTGAAATTGACAAAAAATTACAAATCCAAGAGGTCTTGGGCCAGACAAATTCTAAGATTTAGATTTCCCGAAAATTTAATCATGAAAGTTAATTTTGTTTTTAGTTTTGAAGGGAAATTGAGGAAATCAGCTGACAATACTGGTCTCGTTTTAATTCATTTTAATTTGTCTTCGACTTCGTTCGCGTTCGTTGTTTGTTCGTGACTAGTGATGGGACTCGAGTGATTTTTTTTCACTCGAGTCACTCGGTTCTCGTAACTATCTCACTCGAATGCCACTCGAGTGAAGATAAGACTCGAGTGATGTTTATAGACGCGAGTCACTCGGAATTTAAAATCGAGTAATCAAAATTTTAAAACCAATAAAAAAATGTTAATTTAACATAAAAAAATTATTTTCGCATTAACGTAAAAGTTACTCAAAAAATCTGTACAAAATGTGTAAAAATAGTGTTTTCCTTTAAACTAAACCTGTCTACATAATCAAGAAGCCTCTAATATCAACTATTAGTTGAAATTTTATAGTGTACTACTAATAAGTTCTAATCTAATTAAATTTTAATAAATTCTTACAAGTAATTTTCATGAGATCCAAATATGAACAGTTTGATTATGTTCTTACACAATTTTGATAATAAACATGCTTTAAAATTAACTTAAACGAAGCTTAAATAAACTCTACAAAAGAACAGAAATAGTGTGTTTTTAAAAAAATAACAAATTTAACTGAAAATGCTGTAAAAATTTCTTACTGCGCTTAGTATAAACCAACAAAATGGTTACGAGTCACTCGTAATTCGAGTTAACTCGAGTCACTCGCAACTCGGGTTGTCAAAAATTTCACTCGAGTCCGAGTAAGAAAAAAATGACTCGAGTCACTCGAGTAAAAAGCAACTCGAGTCCCATCACTATTCGTGACTGAAAATGTGTCCTTGACTTTACTATAATTGAAAATAGCGATAAGATATAGGGTTAAATATATTATATTATTCTATCAGCATTTATTTGTTCACTTGGAAATTGTAAATAAGTGCGTAATCTTTATTATAAATCAAGAAACACAATATGGATAATCTAAAGCAGTTCAACACAATGGGCTCGGACGATAACTGGAGAACTTCTAACTTTCGACAAAACGTCGTATCTAAAATGTAAGTATAAACTATTTCTTTATTATACTTTAATAAAATACTTAAAGCTTTAAATTATGCATATATTGTTTGTCAACATAGACTATTTCAAATTTTAATCTCAAATTTCACAATTTGTTTTATTTAAAAAATGAGAAAGAGTTTTCGATTTTAGTTTTTTTTTTACAAATAAAGAAGAATAGTACAATTGTGAACTATGATATAAGACTTATTACAACTGAAACAGATTTTTTTAAATCTAAATGTTTAAATGCACGGGAAAACCCCTTTAGCTGTGTGATAAACTTTGAACTCATAATGTCTAAAAAAATAGATGAGCAATGATTTAATAACACAAACTAGAAATATAGGTGTGGTATAGCTTAATAAACTTTAGTTGAATAGCTCTACATTTTGTATAAAATGATACATTACCAAACCTGTAGTGTTTGTAACAGAACGTACCAAGAAGCTTAGAAGTTACATCAAAATATAAAATTGCTTAGTAAATTTGTATATAAAGGAAAATTTTTATAGCAGCTAGTATTCTAGGCATTCTATTTAAATTTTCAAGGAACTAACAATCCCACAATATCCACCTATTTGAGGAAACAACTACTAATTATGGAACTATTGGATGACTGGATATAAGTGTCCACAGAGGGTTGGTCCTGTTTACACTTGTTCAAACATAATGTAATGTTTGCAGAGAGGATGTGATCCAACGTTCAGGGATGCAAGTGGCTCGCAACAGCAGCGAAATGGAGAATCATGTGTACATGAAAGCAAAGACCAGAGAGGAGTATATGAACATGGTTGCTAAGCTCATACTCCATGTCAGAGAAATGTGTAAGTTTAAATTATGAGTAATATTGCACAATATTATAGGGGGGTGTACCCATTCCAGGTGGATCATCAACAGTGTGAAGTTGTGGGAAGGCTGGTGATGATTCTAGTCTTATTTTTTTTTAACTTCTTTAACTTTTGTGTAATAAAGATTTAAAAATCATGGTTATGTCATAACATATTGTATTTCTTGAAATGTTTATAAATGTACATTTATTTACATCATTATTTCAGCACAACCGAAACAAAATCAAGCCGGAGGAGCCATGCAAGGATCCAACCAGAACCAACCAGGTCCAAACACACAGGTGCAGGCTCAGCAGAGCCAAGCTCCACAAGGACCCAACAGCCAATCCGGACTAGCACCAGATCCAATAAACGCCCTACAGAACCTTGCCTCGCAGGGAACTAGGAACCAAATGATGAACATGGGTCAGGGACAAATGCAACAACAAGGAGTGATGGGTCCCAACCCAGGGATGGGGGGATTGCAGGCTCAGATCGGTCAACAAGGTCCAATTGTATCTCAAGGTGGACCTCAATCACAAGCAGCGACTAATCTACTTCAAACATTAAATCAGAGACCACCATTGAACATGCAACTTCAGAACAAGTTGGGTATGGGTATGGTACCTAATCAGAATCAGATGGGCAACAATATGGTGTCAATGGGTGGCATGGGTAACCCGATGGGCAGTCAGCTGCAGAACCAGTTGGCGGGGCCCGGCATGCAGGGACAGATGATGCCAAACATGTCCATGTCTAACAACATGCAGGGGCCAATGACGGGGGGTGGCATGGGCCAGATGCAATGCAACCAAGTTGGTGGTATGGGAGGACAAATGGCCCCGAATGCAATGCAAGGACAGATGTCCAGACAAATGGGTGAGAAGACTTTGTTGATAATTTAAAAAAGTAGCCTATAATATTCTCGCGTGTATCAGTTGTCTTGAGGACAGACAATATTGCATTTTTTTGATGGAAATGATTTGGAATTTAATTGCTGTTTTTCTATATTAGATTATTAATATGTTCTGTGTGTAATTTTCCACAGTGGGGGGCATGGGCAACAACCAGATGGTGAATATGAACATGTTGCACATGCAGGGGCGCGTGGGCGCCAAGGGTGAGGTAGTGGGTGCCATGTTAGGCGCGGGGTATGCCCCCGCGGGCGCCCCGCCCCCCAACCAGTTTCTGCGGCAGAGTCCCTCGCCCTCCGCCTCTTCGCCCAACATGGGCGGACCTAGTCCTGTCTCAATGGGTAAGTAGTAAAAAATGTTGAAAATCTATATATTCCTAAAACACATTTTTTATATAAATAGGCGAATTTGACAAAAATAGCAGTTGCTCATAAACAGCATTTGTAGATGTGGTTTTTTTGTGATGTCCTGTGAATTATTTTAGAACATAATAGAATATAGAAATTATGAAACGAAAAAGTCATATAGTTTAGATTAGACATATTTTAACTAAATTTGTTTTTAATTGTAATTCATTTTTATATTGTATCTGCAGGCGGCAGTGTGCTGGGCGGCGCTCTGGCGTCACCGATGTCGATGGGTGGGCTGGGCGCTTGCGGCGGCGTCGGCAGCCCCTCGCCCTCTGCGCCTACGCACCTCGCGCACCACCCCGCACAACAGCAGCGGTCAGTTCTATAGCTATTTCATACTAAAAATAAATAGACATAAATGTTTTTATCTAGATTCACGTCGTACAAAACCAAATCAAAACAAAAGGTGAAAGCTGAAATGTAAACGGTGGACTTAAATAAGCGCCATCTATATTAATCCATATAAAACTTTTACTATCTACCAAGAGATGGCGCTAGTTACTTTATGTTGTATGTTATGACGCGATGTAGTTGTTCATCAAGTTTTGGTTAGGTCCACAGCGTGTCAATTTTTCGTCACTCTGGTTTCCCTTCAAAACGCATAAATCTTTCGCCTTTTACTAAAGATTTCCGTGGAGGGGAACACTCAAATGAGTCTTTTATATTTTTGTATAGCTCTGCTTCGGCGGAGTTCGTAAACCTGAATAAATTTGTACTAGTATAGTCTTACTCTTACAATTGATAAATTATGACTATACGGCATGGCATATAATGAAATATGGACACCGGCGCCAGTTAGTGTTCATTTTATGACTTTATGCCAGTCCAGTGTCCAGCCAGTTATTGAGTAGACATGTACCGTCCCGATTGTACTTTCATAATTTCATACTCCATTACAAGTGTGAACTGTAAACGTAAACCAAGCAAAGCACAAAATTATTAAATATTGAATGTATTGTGAGAGACGTTCAAACATTGATGGTTTCCGGATCCGTAAAACATTAGTTTTCATTTATAATTTACTTTCGACACTGAAACCATGCGTGGGCTTTGGGCTTATCTGTTGTGTTGCGGCAACATGAGCGTGGTCAGTGGGCACTATGTAACGCTGCGTGGTGTTGCAGCAGCGTGGGCGTGGGGCTGGGCATGGCGGCGTCGCCCTCGTCCCTGAGTACTCCGGGGGGCGGTGCTGGGGGCGGGGGCGTGGCGTCCCCGGGGGGCGAGGAGGCCGTGTACCGGGAGAAGGTGCGCCAGCTCTCCAAGTACATCGAGCCACTTCGCCGCATGGTGCAGCGCATGGTCAACGAGGGAGAGAGTCAGTATACTGATCCATCTTCACTAACATTAGCGTTTTCTTAGCCTTAGGGTTGCCTTTTAAAAATTAAGTAAATATGAAAACAAACACCCTTGCTGATTTATATCGGCTGAGAATTTAAGTAACTATGGTAACAGCTATGTTTCTGTTGGCTTGTAGCTTTTGTCCCTCGCTAAGTAAGTTTATTCTTCAATTTATTCACGTAAGTTAAAAAGAGCGTAAGCTAAAGCGTGATTTTGATGTTAGTATAGGGATTTTAATGAAAAATAGTGTGATTTTCACGGAGTCAGTCTTGGCAACATTTTATAAATCGAAACGAGTTTTGAATTTTCATACTTTTAGCTAGAGTATATATATTAGAGTTAGATGTCCATAATTCTTTCGTTTATTACAGACGTGGAGAAATTGACGAAAATGAAGAATTTATTGGACATTCTGTCGAACCCCAACAAGCGGATGCCATTGGAGACGTTAATAAAATGCGAAGTTGTGCTCGAGAAGTTGGACTTCAAGCGCAGCGAGACTGGCAGCATGCCGCTGCCGCACGCCGCCACCGGCAAGGTAATATTACTAGAATTCCGTATAAGTTAAATTGGCAAATTAAACACTTTAAAATATGCGCATTTATCAGTCTATAAAAAAATTAAGGCTTGAATTATTTCGTTTATTATGCTCTGACCAAGTTTTCTACGACATCCCCTTTTTAGTACTTTGATATCTGAGGAACTCTCAGATCTCGTCACTTCTTGTCCGTCGCCCTGGGCGGCCCTACTGCCCTTACTCTAATTACCCTTATTTTTTGCACTATCAATAGTAATGTAGAATTATCTCCCTATAGCAGGAGCAAATCTTCAATCCGTTCCTGGAGGTGGTGAACAACTGCTTGACGTCGCCGCTCGCCAACCACACGCTCAAGCGCAGCTTCGGAGCCACGCTCGATGCACTCAACGGACCTGAGATTAAGCATGTTTTCATCTCTTAACAATTTTCTATATATATGTCTCTTTCTCTCCCCCCCTTTCTTTTTCCTCTCCCTCTATCCTTGTCTCTCGCTCCATCTCTCATCTCGTCTCTCGTTCCATCTCTCATCCCGTCCCTCGCTCCCTCTCTTTCTTGTCTCTCAATCCCTCTCTCCTCGTCTCTCGCTTCATCTTTCTCTCTCTCCTAGTTTGATAACATATGGCAATGGGATCTGCTTATTTTGTTTAAAAATCTAACAATGATTGAAATTCTACATTTATTCTGTATTTATGATGTATTTTAGAAAGTTTATTGTTTTTTTTATTTAAGGAATCTACCCCCACCTCTGAAAATGCCAAAAGTAGAGGAACCGACTATGGAAATACCAGACGTTCTGCAAGGAGAAATAGCGAGATTGGATTCCAGGTTTAAGGTACTTCCTTTTTTGTTATATCTGACTAATATTATTAATTAAAATTTGGATGGATGTTTGTTGGACTGTAGCCTAAAGTGCTGAACGGATCACGATGGAATTTGACACAGATGTAGAACATAGCCTGGAAAATTTCGTAACTTTCGCATTTATAATAATAAATTAAAATATTTACCTATATTTTCAAATATTGGTACATAAATCTATACTAATATAAAAAAGAAAGGTTTGTTTTTTCTATGTATTGTAATGACTCAAAAACTACTGGTCCAATTTCAATTCTTTCACCATTAAAAAGCTACGTTATCGCTGAGTACAACGACTTATATTTATTAATTTAACGCGGTTGAAGTCGCAGCTAATTTTGATTTAATTGTTTTTTTTTTATAATATTTCTCCTACTTATGCGTCTCCTCCACCGTCAAATCCACTTTTCCTTCCCATCCTCTCCTATTGAGAAAAGGATGGAAAGGGAAAGGAACTAAATTAGGCCTCCAGCACCACACTCATCATACTTAACGCGGAATTGCTTCTACTTCACGCCTGTTTTCTTTGTGTTCGTGGTATTGCTGTGGGCGAGCCAGCCCTGCAGTGCTAACATGTTAAAGCGGACACCATTGTTATGTTTAGGTATCTCTGGAGACGATGCAAGTGTGCGGCGGCAGCGGCGCCATCGCGCTCGTGGCGCAGCTGGACGACGTGCGCCTGCCGTGCGTGCCCGCCGTGCACGTGGCCGTGCCGCGCGACTACCCCGCGCACGCGCCCGCCAGGCTACGCACGCGCGCGCCACACGCCCCGCACGCGCCCCACGCCCCGCCCGCCTCGCACCGCGCCTTCCTCGCGCAAGTCGACCGGAATATGGATGCACGATGCGCCAGGTATGCACCCGCATGCATGCACGCATGCACGCACAAGTGTACGTACTTACACGTAAAATATCTAATTACACGTACATACGTAAAATATGTAATATTGGATTTTGTTCCCTTATCGAACAGTGACGTTATTTTTAAGCTATCTGAGCCTCTGTCAGCGAGTAGTGGGAGAGGTCTTTACTTTTATAAACGCAAAACCACAAATGGGTATGTTTAACATTGAAAATTTATTTGACTACCATTGACAGTCATGATAAGTAAAATATCAGACGATACTATATATCTATATGGAAAGATTATCTTTGAGATAGTGATATTAATAAAAAAATCAATATTTTCAGTTTACCGAAGAGCTGTTCAGTGGGACAGTTACTGGACGCGTGGGAGATGAGCGTGCGGCAAGCGTGCGCGCCCTCCGCGCCCTCCGCGCCCCCGCTCGCATACACCCCTGTACCCGCACTAGGACTCTAAACCGAGCCATTCTCAGCTCTACACACCCCGCAATAAGCACCACAGTCGTGTGCAAGTACAATCACGGAAACCTGCCGTGTTACAGAAATTGCCTTGTAAATAACGTAAAACTCCGCCCTTTCTTAAAAATTAATCAGTTGCCCAAATAAACAGATAATATGTGTACTGCCTTTTTTTGCACAAATACATATAAAACTTTACTAAAATGCAAATGTGGTAAACAGTGGTAGTGCCCGCTTTAACATGTTAGCAGTGCAGGGCCGCCACGCCCCCAGTAATACCACGACCACACAGAAGACAGCCGTCAAATGGAAGCAATTCCGTGTACAGTCTGATGAGTGTGGTGCCGGAGGCCTCATTTAAGTCCCTTTTTATTTGCCACCCTTTTCTTATAAGGACAGGATGGGAAGGGGAAGTGGATTTGACGGTCGATGAGATGCATAGGAAGGCGAAATGTCCTCTTTGTGCGTCTCCTCCTCCGTCGTATAAGTGTAGGCAACGCATCCGCAATTGCGGATGTCTATGGGCAGCGGTCGCTTCGCCATTTTGGCGGTTTCAGGTGGCCGCTTGCTCGTTTGCCGCCTTATGTTATAAAAAAAATGTACTTTTAAAGTAGAACACTGCGAGATTCCTTGATTGTACTTTATAAAAAAATTCTCCATACAAGGTTGATGTTCGTTAGAAAATCCAAACGTAGGATAATTATGTAAATATTTTAAAGATTTATGTCAATTCAGTACAGTGTTTAAATTGTCTCCAAAATTAACGGCTGGATACTGAAACGACATTTAAAATAATAAAATCTTTTCACCTTTTGTAATATTTGATATTGGATTTAATGCATTTTTAATTTATGTTATTTGTTAAACGATAGGAAGATACGAAAAGTGGGACAATAGAAAAAAAATCTGAAAACCCGATATTTTTTTAGTTATTAAGATAAGTGTAATTCTATATTAAGGTTATTGTATTGTAAAGTTTATTTTCCATATATGTGATGTCACAAATTGAATGAATTAAAACTATGAGTAATGTGTAACTTTTATAACGGAGTTTTGTAAAATCTGTAAATGTAAATATTCAAGCAATAAATTTTAGCCAAATGTTCGAATACAAGAAAAAAATGAATTTATTTTGTTGACATGTTTCAGTTGTCAAATCGGGATCAATTTTGTAATAAAAGGTATGAAATCGTATGTTGGTCCGGTTTTTATATATTTTTAACGAATCAGAATTATAAGGAAAATATGGAAAAAATAACTGTTTGTAAATAAATTTTAGTTTGATAATCGAAAATGTGTTTTATTTTTACCATTACTATAGTTATTGCATGAAAAAATAATTTAATTAAGGCGAGAATACTAAAAAATCCTTTTTTAAAAAACCTAACCTTAAAAATAGTTTCAAAAAGTACATCCCATTTTATTTGAAGCTTTAATCAAAATAAGCCTCAAGTATATTTGTTTTTATACTCGGCAATAATTCGTAGCAACAAAAAGCATAATGAATTAAAATAAAACACGAGTTAATTTAAATTTTTATTTCAACAATAATCGGTGGGTTAAGCTTACATTCAAGCAGTTATTATAACATTTTAAATCAATAATAATTCATAAATACCTAAACGTAATACATACCAAGCATTTTAATCGCAATTAAAGAACATTGAAGGCCCTTTAGCAATATGATTTCTATGAAAATATTATTTGAAACTCTATCATCTTACTTCTTACTTATAAATGCGAAAGTTTAGATGGATGTTTGTTATAGTTTGTGGACCAAACTACTGAACGGATTCCGATGAAATTTGGTGTAGTAGAAGATAGTCTGGAAGAACACATAGGCTATTTACTTCTGTTTATATTAATTCCACAGACAGAGTCGCGGGAAAGCTAGTATTAATATAAATGTGAAGGTTTAGATGGATGTTTGTAGCGTAAACTGCTAAAGGAATTTTCAATGAAAGGCATAGATTTGGATATTCTTGAATACATACACTAATGGTTTTTTTAATACCTAAATCCTAGTAATACATAATATCGTGAGGTGAGTTGACGGGAGTTTCAAAGCGAGAACTGGTAGAGGCTATGCGCGTGCGGGCGGCGGGCGCAGGGACCGTGCGCGCGCGTGCTGCCGCAGCACGACCAGTGGCGCGCGCCCGGCCACCCCGCGTGCCCGTGCCCGCAACCTACACAATCACAGTATTCCAGTCCAGCAAGCCAGTGTTTACTGGAATGTATATGGTAAGAATTTTTTTTGATTACAAACCATTAAAACTTTTTACTGGTGTGTTTGTAAATGTGGTTTTTATTATTTTTTACAAAAAAGTGTTATTGATGATTAAATAAAGGAATTTGGATGATAAAGTATATCGCTGATAGAATTAAAAAGGGGGCTTCTATTAACACGATAGTTCTCTATAAAACTGTAAGTTGTAAAGTTTTATTACTTGAAATCATGCATTTTACAAGTTATCCATTGCTGGGACATTTTTGTAAGAAAAATAATTGTGTCAGAATGTCCAATCTTCCATAGCATACATAGTTTAAAACTAATGCGTTTTTAATACTTTTTTATTAGTGTGTTTGTTACATTTGTGTGCGAGTGTGTGTTTGAAGGAGTCTGTTACCCTTGTAGCCGCCGGGCATGGTGGCGCCGCAGCCGCAGCGCACGTCACGCCGCCCGCCGCTGGAGCAGAACGTGCAGCAGTGGAACTGCCCCAAGTGGGACTTGAAAACGCGCGCGCAGCACGGGAACGGACTGCCCTGCACACACACATTTAAATCTAGAGAAGACAAGTAAACAATATTAACAGAGTTAAGGAAAGAGAGAACGATATATTGAAAACTATAGAGGATAAGAGAGAGAATATTCTGTAATATCTGATATACCACAACGATGTCTCATAATCTCATATTGAGAAGTCCAGAGAAAGCCACTGGAAAGAAAATATCGGACTTAGAACAATCGAGGATGATTTTTGAACGCACATTTTTTATTACAAATGACAGTTGACATATAACCTAAAATTATTCTAATCTAATACGTTAATTTAATTAAACACGTAACGAAAATAGTATTTTATTTTAATTAATAATGATTCCGTGAAAACAGAATTTCACCACACCAGCAATTATGTTTAAATTGGTATAACAAGTGTGTTAATATCGAGCCAAAAAGGTTTAAACCTATCAGTAGTAGTGTTACTACAGGTTAGTCTTGGGCTTAATCGGACATCTGGAAGTGCGCACCGTACTTGTACAAATTGGGAAAACGTACTAGTACACACTTTTAGTACCTATAGTACTTCAGATTTGTGAGAACACAATACATGAATAGAATATAACGAGGGTTATAGATTACTTCACATCAAATTTCAAGCAGGGTCAAACATATGTTATTAGCGAAAATAAATTTAGTTATGAACGATTTTATCCACTTTTGATTCTCGTCATCGAAGGTGGATGCTTCAATCTGGTAAATACTCAATCAAATCAAACAACGAGGAGGCGGACACCGATATCGTGTAGTGTACTAATAGTACTAAATGTCCGATTAACAGAAGCCGTTCGGTAACGTTACTTTTAGTACATCGTACGTGTACTACCTAAGACTACTACAGGTGTTAGCAGTGCTCACTTTGATAGGCGTGTCGTTGAGTGTGACTGCGAGCAGGTAGTTGCCGGGCGCGCGCGGCGCGAGGCGCAGCGCGTACGAGCCGTCGTGTCGGTCCGGCCGCTCGCTGGAGTCGCGCCGCCGCAGGTAGCCTACCACCTACCCCACAACAACCAACATCACGTACAAGTTAACCAATATTAATACAGAAAAAAATGTCTTAATAGGCAATATGCATATGACGCCAAATTGTACCAAACTTTTTTAAGTATACTTTATTACTATAAAAACAGTCCTGCAAAGATTTTTTTAGATATAATCTGATTTAGTGGCAAAATTTAATCATTAAAAAGTGTCTTTTTTTCAAATTCAGTCGCTGAGTTCTAAAACGCACACTATTGGTCGAAGCAAAAGGCTTATCTAATATGGCGTCGTTGTGTTCACAATACACAGTTCATTTACGTTAGTTTTTTTGTGGTTATTTTATAACCAATAGAATCGTTTAAAAAAAGAAAAAAAATACATGCATATTCCCTATTGTGGCATATCTTGACGAAATCGGACCTGTTCTCCACCACACCAAATTCTCTCCCCGTTGCTGTCGCGTAGTTCCACGATGGCCTCGTGCTCGCAGTCCACGTGCAGATCTTGTAGACCTGATAACGAATGTTCTCACTAATTAAAAATTATTCGTGAATCATTTTATAAATAAAACACCTTTCAACTGTTACTATTACACACTAGCTTTTACCGTGACTTCGTTCGCATAGAATTACCAAAACCAAAAATAAGTATTTAGCCTATGTGTCCTTTCAGACCGTCATCTGCATCTATGCCTTTCATAAAGATTCGTTCAGCAGTTTCCGCTTTAACTCTAACAAACATCCATCCATCTAAACTTTCGCATTTATAATATTAGTAAGAAAGATTTAGAAATGAGATAATAGTGAATGAAAAGCTCGCCTTCAGTATGCAGTATGCAGTGTTCGGGGTCTGCGGCCTGCGTGAGCAGCCGGCCGCACAGCACGGAGCCGGGGCCGAGGCGCGCGGCGGGGTCGAGGCGCAGCGCCAGGCGCGGCGGCGCGCTGGCTGGCAGCTCCGTCAGCCGCTGCAGCCGCCGCAGCGCCGGCCCGCTCAGCGACAGCACCTCCTCCGCGCGCCCGCCGCACAGCAGCTGACGAGGTATAATGAACATGTTCGTGTCCATGTGGTCATACCCATTAGGGGGAGACTTGTCACAAATAGATAATATAACTTGTAGGGAGTCAAGTTGCATTCGGTCAGACTGTGTGCCCTCCCGCTATTTGGCCCGTATGACCTGAGGATCGGTGAAGCCATGGGTGGTGGTGGATAGGTATGACGAGATACAACCCAAACGCACTGTATTTTACTTGTCTACTCCCGTTTTCGTGTAGATTTTCATTTTTTATTTTCATTAGTAGCTGTTTATAGATACATATTGATTTTGGTAGGTTATTTTAATCTACCCTCCATATTTTACACACCGAGTAATAAATGTAGTGCTGGAAGTCATTAAATGGAAGCATTTAATGACAGCAGTTATAGATGCGAGACCACAGCGTAATTACAAAAGAGAGAAGATAAAATAGGTGTACGACACAGGAAGGGCATATTTCAATATTGGTGCTTAGTCGCACCTCCTCCGTGAAGCGCACGGCGTGTTGTGCGTGGTGTGCGCGCTGCTGCAGGTCGCGGTGCGCGCGCTCCACGCGCTGGCGCTGGCGGGCGCGTGCGCGCGCGGCGGCGGCGGACAACGCGCGACCGTGCGCCTCCGCCGCGCGCCGGTACTGCTCGGCCCACGCGCGCACCTCCGCCTCCACACGGCTCGCCTCGCCCTCACACAACATAACAACTATACACATAGCCAATATACACATATGACAAATTTGACAACACTTTTTTCGACTTTTATAATTCTGAGAACCAATGAAATACGTTGTTTACATTGAAGTGACATCTGAGCGGAATGTGCCTACTGACGTCACAAGTCACAGGCCAACTGCAATTGCTTTTTATTCGCACGAAAAGGATCGGATTTTTATTTCATTTTTTTAGCTCAATGGTATATATTTTTTGGTTCCATAGGGAACAGTAACAGAACTATTAATAGTAAAAAAACATTTGTCCCTCTATATCTGCCGACTAACATCTGTCTCCAGCGCGTGCGCGGTAAGAACGCGTGCTGCGCGCTCGACGTGCTCGGGCACGAGCTTCGCGCGCTCGCAAGCGTCGCGCAATGCACGTGCGCGCTCCGCCGCAGCGCGTGCAGCGCTCGCCAGCGCGTGTCCCGCGTGCGACACCACGCTACAGTCGCCGCAGATCACCTACACCGACAGAACAACTTACTACTTACGAACATTTACAAACAAAAGCTGAAATTGAAGAACAGTTAAGGGGTTCAAAAAAATCTGCTGTTAGTCGATACACAGTTTACCTAACCATCAAAACACAGCAAAACCATTGAATTTGTGGCAAGAATTTCGTAGTTATATGACAATTTATAGTGATTTGTTATGCACAAAGATCAGTGAAAATTTTATTTTGGAATAGGGTTGTAACGGAATTCCGCATCGCAACGGTGAAGCCCTTCGTCTTCGCATCCGCATCCGCTTCCGTTAAAATGGCCTCCGTTACAACCCTATTTGAGAATACCTTGGGGACAAAGGCGATGGCGAATTTCAACCAGATCAAAATCACTCGGCTGACAGAAGCAGTGGCCGAATAGAGTAGACTTGTATAGTATACCTGCTGGCAGGTGGCGCAGTAAATGGTAAGCTCGGAGCGTTCGTGGCGGGGGCAGTAGACGGGTTGCGGGGCGAGGGGCTCCAGGTAATGGCTGGCAGTGGCCTTGATGCGGCCGTGCGCCTTGCCGCACGCCTCGCATACACTCACCAGACACTGGCTACATCGACTCTCCGCCTGCCGATACAATGCAACATTCTTCTAACCTCTAAAGTAGCATTTGAAACTCAACCCTCGGACGGTCATAAGAAAGGCATATTGGAAACGTAAAATTTTGATTTCAAGCTGTTCAGTGTTCATATTTGAACGGCTGGGCCAAACAAACCATATAAGGCCAGACATAACTGCTACCAATGCGTTTCAGTAACTAAAATGTCCCCAGCGCCATAAGTTGCTGATTAGCGCAAACATTTTTAAAAGTGGAAACAGCCGTAATCTAAACACGTGACGCGACAGGACATGAAGCATAGTTTCTGTTCACAAATACAAAGGGCCAACTTAAAAGGCAAATGTGGCGTTGGATTACTAATGGAATTCTTCTCCATTGGATCGTAACCGTGGAATAGACACGCTTGAATCGCCCACCATGTGCATCACAACTCACGTTTTAAGTCGACATTTAAACAAATTATAGTTAACTAGTTTTCGTCCGCAATTTCGTCCGCGTTAACTTTGAATAAAAATATATGAGTAGCCTATATGTTCTTTTAGACTATGCTTTACATTTATTCCAAATTTCATCGAGATCCGTTTAGCAATTTAGGCTAAAACTCTAACAAACATCCATCCATCCACCCATCTAAACTTTCGCATTTATAATTAGTAAGACTAACTTTCGCCCGCGACTCCGTCCGCGTGAAATTATAAAAAACAAAGGTGAGTAGCCTATATGTTCTACATCTATGCCAAAAATCGAGATCCGTTCAGTCGTTTAGGCGGCAAACTCTAACAAACACTTTATGTCGTAAACAAAAAGGTAACCTTATTGTCGGTGTCGCACATATCGCATAGCACAGTAACGTCATCCTCTCGGTCTGCGAGGCTCATCTTCCGCAGCAGTACGTAGTTGAGCGGCAACTCCGGGATCCCGGCGGGGGGCAGCTGCGTCTCGTGGCCGCAAGTCGGACACACTAGGAACTGCACACTCCTACCTGACACCTAAGAAATTCGTTATTTGTTTTACGTTAGTTTAAGTACGAAATTAAGAAAACAGATTCTATTATAAAAAAATATATATTATCAATACGAAAGCTTAGATAGATGGATGAATGTTTGTTAGAGTTTGTAGCCTAAACGGCTGAACGGATCTCGATGAAATTTGGCATAGATGTAGAGGACAGTCTGGAAGAACACATAGGCTACTCACTTTTGTTTTTTCTATTTTCACGCGGACGGAGTGGCGGGCGAAAGCTAGTTATAAAATAAGGGTAACTAATGTTGCATTGAGTAGTATAAATAGAATGGAAAATTGTGTTTAGATTGAAACTTTACATTTATTTAATACCTAGCTTTCGCCCGCGACTTCGTCTGCGTGAATTAAAAAAAACAAAAGCGAGTAGCCTATGTGATTTTCCAGGCTATCCTCTACATCTATGACAAATTTCATCGAAATCCGTTCCGCCGTTTAAGGTACAAACTCTAACAAACATCCATCCATCCATCTAAACTTTCGCATTTATAATATTAGTATGACGTATTTATTCATTCATTCAATCTATCGCTACTTCAGTCTTGTATTTTATTGCGGTTTTCTTCCAAGAAGTTTACCTTTTTAATAAATATGCCATATTTCTGCGGCTTGTCATCAAGACTACCGTCGGAACCGGAGTTGCGGGCGTCGCTCTCGTAGCCGGAGCCCGCGGAACCTGCGGATCCCGCGCCGGAGCCCGACCCACACTCCTCGGCCTCCAGCTGTAAAGATCCTGCAATAAATGGTAAGTAACAATTAGCAAACCGAACTGCTCGTATACAGAAAGGTCCAAGGAAACCGAAGAGTAGCACGAAGGATAAATTGGTTTCAAAATTTCAGTAATTTCTCTCTCTCTCTCTCTCTTCGTTCAGAGCTATAGCTTTAAGAGTTTAGGTTGTCCTGATGATTGCAGACATTTAAAAGATGGTTCCAAGATGTTTTGATATTGCAGGTTATATTAACAAACTAGCGAACAATCAAATCATTCCGCTTTATAATATTAGTATAAACAAGTAAATATACATGAATTTCCTTGCTATTAATCGTAGTCTAATGGATTTAAATACTTAGGAACATTTAATGATGGAGAGCCCGTGATTCACGAGGCTCGAGGCCGAGGTCGTTGTATTTACGTTATCCAATGTAATGAGTAAGCGACACTCGAGGCTTCCACTGTCGGAAATAACTGAATCTCTCTGCCAATTGCTATCGTGGCAGCACTTAAAAATACATAAATAGACAATCTTTAAGTCATTCACAGAGATAGATAGTTTTTTTTTTTACTTTCTTCTAATGTTAGGATAAATTCATTCATTTCCACAATGTTGGTCAAAATAGTCAATCGTTAATGGTCCGACGCTTGTATATAATTTGTTCTAGCTCAGTGTCCGTTTTATAAACTACGAGAGTTCTTGAAAGAATGAAAATAGCATCGTTATTAATAAATGTTTCGTTTTATAACCTGTACAGCTTCTGGTTTAAATCTGTCGTGTTATTGTTTCAGTTCGAAACTCGACGTAATCGTTTTAACGATACCGCGTTGTTTTTTTAAAACGTGAAAAAGAAAGATATTTGTAAGATAGTTCCGCAAGACTACCTGAAATTAATAATTAATTTAGGTTAGTTTTTGACAGCTAAGGTAGCTTTTTAAAATATAATTATTAATCAAGTATGTTTTTTTTTAATTCTAGGCACGTGGCAGAATTTAGAGCAACGTTACGTTTATGTACATTTTGAAATTAGAACGTAAACGTACGTTTGAAATCTTTTAATGCACTCTTTCCTGTTTTTTTATTCACCATCGAAAGACGTTCTGTTTAAATGTTTATTATAGATCAGATTCTATTTAGTAAATAAATCTTAGATCTCTCGAAACCCTGTTTGAGCAGTCATTTGCATGATGTTTTTGCTTTCTTAATGTTAAATCTTGCTAATATCATAAATGCGAAAGTTTGGATGGATGGATGTTTCTTAGAGTTTATAGCCTAAACAGCTCAACGGATCTTGATTAAATTCGCTTATTCGTACAGAATAGTCTGAATTAATATCTTTGCTTTTATATTTTTAATACAACGCGGACGGAATCGCAGATGAAAACTAGTATGATGACTATTTTTTATTATATAGCCTTTGCCCGCAATTTCGTGCCCGCGGAATTAAAAAAATAGTAAGTAGCGTGTAGTAGTAGTTGTAAACTCTGTTGTACATCTGTGCTTTTTGAGATAGGTAGTACAAACATCCATCCAAAGTATTTTATTTCCAATATTAGTATTTAGTTTTACTGTTAACGTTTTAGTTACACATAGTTCTTGCAAACGCAGAATTCGTTGTCACAAGTAATCAATTCATCCACGTGTATCTTAAGAGCGTGCGCACACATTTGACTAATCTATCGCACAACTGTTTAGTCGCGCTTTCTATGAGCTTTTTTTTATAGCATAAGGTGGTAAACGAGCAAGCGGCCCCCTGAAATCGCCAAAATGGCGAAGCGACCGCTATCCATAGACATCCGCAATTGCAGATGCGTTGCCTACCCTCATACGACGGAGGAGGAGACGCACATAAAGAGGATATTTCCCCTTACTATGCATCTCCTCCACCGTCAAATCCACTTCCTCTTCCCAACCTCTCCTTATAAGAAAAGGGTGGTAAAGCGAAAAGGACTTAAATTAGGCCTCCGGCACCACACTCATCAGACGAAACACGGAATTGCTTCCATTTCACGCCCGTCTTCTGTGTGGTCGTGGTATTACACCGGACGTGCCGGCACTGCAGTGCTAAGATGTTAAAGCGGGCACTACCACTGTAAATTATTATTGGGCGGTGCACTACTTGATTTTTAGTTGTGCAACTAAACAGTTGAATTTTCCGCGTAACAATCTAAATCGCACAACAGTCGTGCGATATCTAAGTCAAAGGTGTACGCCAACTCTTAATCTGTGGTGCTAGGTCGTTGCTTGTATCTGTATGGCTTCGGTTTGTCCATCAGCTCTACTTCTGATTCCACATGTCACCTTGTTGGGAAGTAATTGGATCATTTACTTAATTCCTGCAGACGTTCATTGCTGACAGTTTTGATTGAACAATAACTGTTCAGTTAACAGAATAGTCAAAATACACAGTTTTGAAAACTAACAGAATCGTCTTAATATTTTAAGGCATGGCATATTAGTGAACTTACTGTTCCCGTGCGACTTCATCCGCATGAAACTATAAAAGTTTTATTTCATTGTTTACATTTGTCAAATTATCAATTAAAAATGTCAAAATGACATGACATGATGACAACTTTGCTTCCTTAATGTTGGCAGCAACTGGTCTCTTTCTCACTTAAGGTTTTTTTCCAAAACATTTACCCCCTAAGTTTAATGGCGTTAAAACATATAGCATAAAGCGTGACGCAAGTGTAGGGCTTTTTATTAAAAAAAAATATTCAAAAATATGCTGTGATTGCTGACATCTTAAGCAACAAAGAAGTATGTGTTTACGCTTTATAACAATAGTATAGACGTATAGATTTGTTCTTTAAAATAATCACTCGCAATTCAAACATTGCAAAATCGATAATAAAATAAGACCAAATAATTAGGACAGCATTTGTTCTAGAAAACAAAATTAAAAACATGTAAGCCGTCAATAAATCATTAGATCCGAGTTAATTCAGCATGATATTGACGTACGCCGGAACATAGCTAATGCGTTTCTATATATAGTTGTGCCACCGGGGATGCCGTACATTGATACAGACGGCAATAGCAGTCAGTTTACACGGACAAAAGAACACAAAACATTATTATTATCTCTGGTTTTTTAAAATAAGGATGAATAGCCATTGTCATAGAGCAATCTTACTTCTAACCTATAATGCGAATGTTTAAATGAATGGATGTTAGAGTTTGTAGCCTAAACTGCTGAACGGTTCTCGATTAAATTTGATAAAATTTGACGTATATGTAGAGGACAGTCTGAAACACATAGGCTACTTACTTTTTTTTTTAATTCCAAGAGGACTAATTCGTGGACAAAAGCTAGTATTTTCATGTTATAAACATTGGAACGCTCTACGCTATCTAAATAATGCAAAAACTATGTAAAAAGTTATTACTGTACTTGTTAAATGAAATTCTTATTATGTGTATTTATTCATTTCTTAAACGTCATCATCATCATCATCTCCCCTGCCTTATCCTACTCCCGTATGGTCGGCGCACCGGGTTTTCGTCCTCCAAAGCACTCTATCATCCGTCATCTCAGTTATCACTCCCTTCTTGATCATGTCACCTTTCACGCAATCCATCCATCTCTTTCTAGGTCTACCTCTACCGGTGTACCTCCACACTCCTAACGTTCTCCTTGTAACATGTGATTCATCCCTCATCATAACATGCCCATACCATGCTAACCTTTTACTCCTTACTTTTTAAACAGTTTCGCTAATATTAATGGACCACTTTAGTAATTTACAACACAACAAAACTCTTTAAAGTCCTTCAACTGACAACAACATCCTTTCTCTCCTTACTCATTTCCCCACAAACGCCCGTCTGTTCAGTTCTTTTTTAACGACGCATCTACCCATTAACGGTTCATAATACTTTTTATATTTCAAACAGATGCTTTCAAAACAAAGCTGTTTTTATTGACATCGATTGGCCCATTTTAAGTGATGTCTGAAATAAAATATTCAAACTAGGTTTGTTTTTATGCTACTATTGCGACTAGTTTATTTTTATTTTGATGGTTTGATTATTGATTACGTTATATGTTTTTTTTACGAGATTATCTGGTTCCGGTAGTTTTGAATTTTGTATTTAGCAAAGTCAGTGAAAATGTAGACAATAAGATTTTTTGTTTCTAGCGTGCTCATTGGTGGTTTCTTGCATTGTTATCGCAAAAAAATCTATTAAATTGTAAACACTAATTTCACTTACCATCATCGACTACGTTCCAAGCATCTTCCTCTTCTTCTCGTCGTAGACCCTGGAGACATCTGGTACAGAAGCTGTGAAGGCATCCCAGCAGCCTGGGCTCTACCAGTTCTTTCTTGCAAAGTCCACACTCCCAATCCTTGACCCTGCTTTTCCGACCTTCAAACGAAGACCGCAGTCCGACACACAAGCTTTGACTGGCCGGTCTCGTACAATTCTGATGCAAGGGACTGTTACCAGCACTGATTGATGATGGCTCCAGTGATTTCCTTCGATCTTGCTTTTTACGTGTGAAACTTCCGAAAATATACATAATTCTGTCTACTTCCATTTAATATAGGATTTAAACAAAAAAAAAATATTTTAATAAGGTTAAGAAGAAATTATTTTTAAAAAATTAGCTATATCCATCCATTAAACAATAAATTAATATAATTTTTATTTTCCGTACGATCCATGCTTGGCATTACGTGTTACTTTTGCTTCCCGCGTTCGTTTAAAAATAAACGTCCGACCGAGGTGGCGCGCTTTGCTCGACTATCTCGAGTTGTTGGATTGGACTAGAACACATCACTAACGCAACCCTACAAATCATTCCTAATGTCATTGCAGCTGATTGATTTTTTCTATTTCCAATGCAAAAATGTTAATAAAGAATTACAAATAATATTGTCGCAATATAGGTAACTTGTTTAAAAAATGAAAATAACCCCATATCCACGCATTTTACTATTTGATCCGACTAAAGTTGTCTTTAAGAACCTTTAAATATCTTTGGTCAAGTCGAAAGTACGCACTGGAGCATAATTTTTTGAAAGTTTTCGAACTTACCGTCTCACATTCCATAATCCATAAAGGATTGATCTAAACGATAAAAATCACGAGTTATAGTAAAATTTTGAGTAATTAAAAACTATTACCGTATTGATACAGTAATTTAAACTTATATTGAATGACAATTGCAACAAGATATTTTTAGTATCTGTTCAAATAAGTTAATGTCAGAGGTGATTTCCTAAAACAAGGGGTGACTTGTGTAAGTATAATTAAGGGAGATCTATATTCGTGGTAACCCATGTCATTTTTTCTTTCCTTGATTGATTAGGATAGCTGTCATGATCGTACTTCCGTAAAATCCTATTTAATAATTCAAAGGTTAAAGTTTGCAATGGCGCGCAACCAAATTAAATTATTCAGGTATTTTTTTTTCTATAATAATAAAAATAATTTACAATTAAAAGTATTGAAATCATTTGTACATTTTATATTTATAAAGATAAAGACATCATCTATCGCAAACTGTTTCAGGATTAGCTGAATGAAAGAGATAATAAACCGTTTTTTTTTTTAGTACATTAGGTGGCAAACGAGCAAGCGGCCACCTGAATCCACCGAAATGGAAAGCGATCGCTGCCCATAAACATCCACAATTGCAGATGCGTTGCCGACCCTTAATTGACGGAGAACACGCACATAAAGAGGACATTTCCCCTTCCTATGCGTCTCCTCCACCGTCAAATCCACTTTTCTTTCCCATCCTTTCCTCTTAACAAAAGGGTGGAAAGGGAAAGGGACTAAAATTAGGCCTCCGGCACCACACTCATCACACGAAACGCGGAATTGCATCTACTTCACGCCTGTTTTCTGTGTGGTCGTGGTATTGCACCGGGCAAGCCGGCCGTTTTCAAAGGTTTAAGGCAAATTTGATCTCATTGAAATATAGATCAAAGGTGAAAGATACATTAGCGAAAACTGGGCAATTATTTTTTCTCTTTACATTGGTAAGTTAGTGTAATCCCTACTTTATTACCTGTCAACAACATTAGGTAGCAGTAATATTGAAAAGCCAAGATTGATGATTTATTTTTCTTTTCGAAGTAACTTTTCATATAGCATATTCTTGTAATATAAGATTTAATTATCCAAAGATGATTCAAAAGATTAACTAATATTTATATTTTCGAATGTTTTTAAAAATAAAAAATAAGCGGATAAAGTAGTTTGCAAAATTTGCTTAAAACAGAACGCAGTTGTCATAATGTATCAGTAGTAGTGGTGGACTATTTATAATAATTCTATTCAACATTTTATTTCGGAAAAATGATTGATCCAGTTTTAAAATAATTGCAAATTCTTTTACACTATCATTACATTTATGTTGTTTAACAAAAAATGTTGAATTTTGAAAAAAATAAATGACCGTTCTGTTTTCTTTCAGTAGTTCATCTAATTAGTATTTAAGAACACACGCCATATGTTATTCGGTTTGTAATGTTTTAGTTCGCGAAAAGTAGAAAATTAATCTCAAACATGTACGTAAAATCGATCTTTTGAATCGATTATAACTATCAAGGACATCACTTTACGGCTAATGCTAAAATCAAACTGCTGTCAAGCTGTCATATAGCCGTCCGTCAACATTGTTCCTGCTTCGTGACATTGATGAACACTTGAGGATTTTTTCATTCGTAAACCACTTTGCTAGTGTGGTTGCGGAATGTGTGTTTATATTTATAATGAACCCAATAAAATTATGTCACTGCTGATTTTAACATAGAAAACAGTCAGCGTTAATTTAACATCGCTATGTTGAACTTGCACAAAATTTGGTTATTATCATGTCTGTGTGTTATTGTTATGATTATTTTATATTTTCAAACAGAAATTACACGTTTGGAGCAAAACTATCAAAAATTAGGTATGTTAAATGTCTTATGTTGTAATAAATTAAGGAATTAGCAAAGTATAAGACGATTCTTTCGTTTCAGAATACAAGTTAACACAAAGTCATTCAAATTCTCGTCAGTTTTTCCCGAAAACTATCGAAAAGGATAACGATGACTTGGTGGTCATATACAACCGCGTACCGAAGACAGGCTCTACTAGTTTCGTTGGTGTGGCCTATGATTTGTGCAAAAAGAACCATTTTAAAGTTTTACACATTAATATTACAGCAAATATGCATGTAATGTCTCTCAGCAACCAGTATAAGTTCGCTCAGAATGTTACAAGATGGCAGGAAGTAAAGCCAGCACTTTATCATGGTCATATGGCATTTTTAAACTTCGAAAGGTATGTATGGAACATTTTCATTCAAGTTTTCTATAGCCATTATATTCAATCAAATATCTTGTCAAAACAACATGTACTTACATAATTCTTAATTTTTCAGATTAGGCACATCCACAAAACCAGTATTTATTAATTTAATAAGAAAGCCACTAGACAGACTAGTGTCTTATTATTATTTCCTAAGAAATGGAGACAATTTTAGACCCCATTTGGTGCGGAAGAAACATGGAGACAAAATGGTGAGTTGTTTATAAACAAAGAAACATTAAATAAAACTGAAAATGAAGGTCTTAAGCCAGCTTAGGTTGATCTTTACTAATATTATAAAGATTTGTATTTTTGTGTATATTCCAATGACTCAAAAACTACTGAGCTAATTTTAAAAATTCTTTCACCGTTAGAAAGGTAATTTATATTTTTATTTTAATTAATTTATACATGAGTAACATAGGCTATATTTTACGCAGACGAAGTCGCGAGCAACAGTTAGTTTATAATAGAAACGTAAAATTGATACTAAATATAATAGTACCAGCACACTAAAAACCTATTAATATTCTGCTGGTACCTTTATTACCCATTGTCTGTGACTTAGGAAATCAGAAATAAGTTAAGTTTCATGCAGAATCATTAAAAGCAGACTAACTAACGTCTTTATTACTTTTTACAGACTTTTGATGAATGTGTTGAAAAAAATCAACCAGATTGTGACCCTAATACAATGTGGCTGCAAGTCCCTTTCTTCTGCGGTCACTCAGCTCAGTGTTGGTGAGTTATTTTAATTATTATCTAGCTTATATAATTATTGTATCTTTTCCAATTGTCTGTGACTCTGTTAACTTATAATTAAAAATAAACTTAATTTGTAGCCTCTGTCTTCTTAGAGAATATGTTACATATTTATGCAAAATTATATCTTGATATGTAAACACATTCCGAGCAAAAAATATCCATCCATCTAAACATTCACATTTATAATACTAGTAAGATAGAAAACGTTAAAAAGTATGTTAGAGGTTATGTTACTATGTTAGAATAGACTGAACAAGTACAAGTTGTAACAAGTAAGTCAAAACATACATTGTGTACGTTACATTAGATTACATAACAATTTCCTGGTTTTGTTTCACATAACAATAAGCCATGGACATAAACATGGAATAATCTATACTGAAAAATATTGATTATAGGGTATTCTAATTTTGATTATCTTCACCACCTCACTGTACATCCCCACTGAGGGGCTCGGAGCCTACCCTAACAAGGGGTGACTAGGCCATAGTCAACCACGCTGGCCAAGTGCAGATTGGTTGACTTCACACATATCTTTGAATTTCTTATATGTGCAGACATCACGATGTTTTCCTTCACCGTAAGAACTTCGGGTAAAATGTGGACATATGAAATCGAAAATCACATTAGTACAGCGGGATTCGAACCCAAGCAAAAATATAATTTGATTGGCACATTATCTAAATCACAATATCAGGCCTAATTTTCGTCCCTTTTCTTAAATAGAAAGGATGGGAAGTATGAGTGGACTTGATGGTGGAGGAGACGCATAGGAATATGTCCTTTTTTGCGGGTGTTTATGGGCAGCGGTCACTTTCCATTTCGGTGGATTCAGGTGGCCGCTTGCTCGTTTGCCAACTTGTATTATAAAAAAAAATCAAATGATACCAAATAGGTGGCTTTGAATCGCCATTATAGAAGCGAATTGTTTAGACACATTGACCTAATATTCAAGTAATTTCGTCACCATTCTAATAAAGGGGAGGCTTTCTGCCTTAAAGTTTGAAGTCTATTGAGTTTATTTCAATGTTTTCAGGAAACCAGGAAGTCAGTGGGCGTTGGAGCAAGCAAAACATAACCTAGTCAATCATTATCTTCTTGTCGGAGTTACAGAAGAAATGCTAGATTTCATATCAGTTCTAGAAGCGGTTCTGCCTCGAATATTCAAAGGTGCTACTGAACATTACTTGAATAGTAACAAATCGCATCTCAGACAGACAAGCTCCAAAATAGATCCGGCTCAAAGGACCATAGATAAAATACAAAAATCAATTGTATGGAAAATGGAGAATGAGTTATACGAGTTCGCGTTAGAACATTTCAAATTTTTCCAAAGGAAAGTGTTGATGAAAGAGACTTTAGGTGTTCCACAGACTTTCTTTTACGAAAAAATACGACCAAAATGATAATTCAATTTATTATAAGGAATTTAAATCATTCCAGATGTAAATATTAATGTTATTTATTGTTAGTTTTTTTATTCAAAGTTAAAGGTAAGCACATTAAAAGACGAAAAGTGAATTATTCTGTGCTTGTTAAGTTTAAAATCTTACTAAGGCCTAAACATTTTATTACGTCATAGTTGCATTTTATAATGAACTTATTTAGTTAAATATACTAATATCTTATTCATTTTAGTACACAGATTAATAGACAATTTAAGTGTACTATTTTTTTTTTCATAAACTGACGCAAAATTTTGATATGCGTATACGATTTTATTGACCAAAAACATTCGATTAATAAGGTGTTTGAATAAGAATTCTTATGATTTCTTTAAAGGCTGAATAATTGATGATTAGTTAATTTTTAAAAAAGATAATGTAAAAATTTATAATATCTATGGTAAAAAATACTAGCAATAATTTTACAGATCAAAGACTAGTTATTGACACTGTAGACCACGACATTGAGAATTTAAAAAAATTAAAACATGTATTTTTATGTGTTACGACCTAATTATTTTTTTATAAGTTAGTTTTAACGAAAATATCACAACAAAGCAATAAAAACTAGAAAAATGCTTCCTAAATACTGTATAATGCGTTTTATTATGTATAAAAATATATTTGTTTGTTAATTCGATACTTTTGAAACTTTGAATTGTTTTTTTTACTTTGATATAAATAATCAACGCATTTTTAAAATATGATAGTTATATATTTATAGCTAGTTATTAATGCAACGAAATATAAACACTTTTTTTTTGCGCCATTTTGTGACATTTTTTTGTTATGGCAACAATTATTGTTTACTCTATGACAGGAAGCTTTAATATCGCAATCGAATTTTATGTCTTTGTGTATATTTTTATTGAAATATTGCTAGGTTTTAAATTAACTATGAATTGTTACGTTGATGTTAAAGTAAATTATTTTTTATTCAACAAAACTTATGTACGGCTTTATTACGGACATTACGGACTAATTATTAAGAATTAGGTTTTGTTAAAATATTAACAAAAATGCGTTTTAAAATCATTGATTGTTCTTTATGTTTGTAAATAATAAATTTACAGCTATCGAGGCTATGTATTTGTATATATTGAATAGTAAAATGTAATCGGAATATATTAATGCCCTGTTTATATTATTGCAATTTGAAGTTGGTAAATTTTTCCAGTTTTTAGACTGTAACAATGTAAACCGCGTATAAAAAGAAATGACCTGAAATTATATGTTTAAGAATGATTTTTCGTACTTAATAGTATACAATTGGCAATTTATAAGAAACATTTGGTTTAAGTTGAATTTTATCGTGTTTTAACCCAGTCAAGTTGCAATCATCGCACGTACTTATCATTTGCTAATCACTCGAAAGTACGCACTAGTTGTTAATGCAAGAATTTGTTAATAAATCGATATTTTATAGTTGAAGAGGTTATTTCATTTGATCCTTCGAGCCGGATTTTTATCAATATTTCCTGTCTTGTTTCTAACTTTTACTAAGATAATACCAAAAAATACTAGCAATAATTAGTATTAAGAAAAAGGTAGTATAAATAAGTTTTTTTTTTAAATGTAAGTACTATAGCTACTTAATATTGTTGGATAAACCTTAATTGTTTTTAAATTATTATGAAACATTTACATGAGTCATATTCATTCAGTATTGAAAAAATAATATATTATGTACGTTATAATTCGTATAGATTTGTCGCAAACGAACAGTGAGTCATTACTCGGTTCTCGAAACTCGAAACTTCTTCAAACATATCAATTATTGTAACGTCGAATTATTGAATAATACAGTATCCTCAAGCGGAGTCGTGGATAAATGGAGTATTACGAAGTTAACAGCATAACTGTGGTGTACCTAGTAAACACAATTAGTCAAAAGTGTCTTGCATGACCCTTGCATTTGATACAATAATTGGCCACGCGGTGGATTCATTCAGGGGGTTAGCACTTTAAATATTCAATCGGTTGTCCATCTCGCTCGTATATCGTTTATCACATACGTCAGAGTGGGTCAAACATATTTTTATAAGTTGTATTTAAAAAAGAAAGCTCCAACGTTCAGTCGCATGCCGGAGTCAGCGGGGAGCGGACGTCCCGCGATGCTGGCTCGATCACAACCGCTGGCAGAAATGCTATCGCGGCGTCACTACTTTCGAATAATCAGACAAATTGTTACACGTCTCAGATCATCTAAGATGAGTTAATTTATATCGATTTTGTTGAGTTTTATGTATTATTTATAGTTTGTTTCGGACGGCCGAAGGTCGCGTCCTTTAATCGATGAACAATTAAAAGTGACAGTGTGTGACTACCCGCGTGGACAGACACTTTTTGATACATATATATTTATAAAAAAAGTGCCAACGCATAACATAGCTTAGTATACAGGGACTAAAAATATCTATAGGAACTCTCAATAAATTGCATCTTCATGGAATATGGGCATCTGTTTAGACACTGGTAAGTAAACAAACATACCCCTGCGACCAAAGGGTATCAGCAGATATAACCAATTTTGATATTTTACCGAGTACCCACTCGCCGCAAGAGCTCGAGTATTTTTTTACGTAAGGTAAGACCAAGTACGCTGTATAAATTTACGCCTTACATTCATTACCAATTAATGTCTTAAAATAATGACAGGAAAGTCATAATGATCCGAGAAAAAGGAACTAGAAACCCCGTACACATTAATATTGGGCTTACATAGCTAAAACATTTGTGACTTAAAAAATTCACGGTTATAAATGTTTATGTCAACATAGAAATAGCTTAGATTCAGTTGTACATTTAATACTATTCTCCACTATCCATACTAAATACTGAGTAAATTAAAAAAAGGAACTCGTGTTCCATTTTATCCGATTACAGTCAATTAAAAGAATTGGAATGACATTTCACAATCATAATGACACACACAATTTAATATCGTAAACACTTCCACTATAAACCGATCACTTTATAAACTTTTTTAACCCATTTACTTGATATGAGAAACATAAAAAACAGCAACAAACTCTATTTATTACCCGTACTATTTGTAAATGTGTAAGTTTTGGGTTCGAATCCCACTACATGCCAACGTATTTCCGAATTTCATGACAACTCTGTTGTTGAAACGGCGAAAGAAAACATCGATATGATACTTGTGAATATTTTACAAATTCAAAGATATGCGTGAAACCGACCGATCCAGACAACACTGATAGCGCGGTTACCTAAGACCTAAACATCCTTAATTAAAAGTAAGTTTGAGCCCCATGGTAGGTTAGTATGACCTAACAACAAATGAATACTTAATAATTTGTCATTCCTGTTTTACCAGTGTGTTCTATCTCGAAGCACAAGGACAAAAAAAGCCTGTCCTACCAAGTTGTACTGTCTGATAACAATCCAACGTGTAAAATATGTGATAGATTTTGTTACCTTATCTGACAGTGACGTCATTTTTAATATATCTGAGTCTCTATCAGCCAGTGGTGGGACAATCCCTTAATAAACAATAATGTTTAGAACAAAACAATGAGGAGCAGGACAGAGAGAGCTATGGGGAGTCCCGCAGGGGGCGCGAGAGCGCGTGGGGCGGCGCCACACCGCCCGCTGCCGCCTTCCCCATGCAGAACTCCAGCCACGTCAAGTTTGAGCCTCCGACCGTGCCTGTTATATTCGTACTTGGTAAGGGATACATTTCTGTCTATCATTAGAGAGATTTTGTACAGAGAACAGAAGAAAATAAGATATACATGAAATATAACTAGTTTCAATGCTAAATTAGACTATAAAATTGTCTATGGTAGCTGACGGAACTGCCACTCTAGCGCAACATGTATCAACAGTAAGAGCAAACTCTAGCAGGCTGCCCGCAGACGCGTGAAAAACTATCCATTAAGTCTTTCACTGAGGTTTTTGAGCATTAAAGTGTGTTCTAAGTTCTTTTATGCCAAGAAGCTGTATCGTAAATTGACAGTCACTACAAGTGATGTGTGTCCAGGAGGGCCGGGCAGCGGCAAGGTGACGCACTGCGACACGCTGGTGCAGGAGCGGCGAGGCCTCGTGCACGTCAACATGACCGACCTGCTGCAGCAGTACGCCATCGGCAACGGTATGTACAAACACTAAGTCCTTAGGTTTTAGGAAAGCCCAGAGATAGCGAAGTCTACTGAGGAAGTACAACGGCGTCAGAAAGATACACGCTATTAGAATACCTTAAATAGCATCCCGTTTTACAACGAATTCTTTATTGACTAAACTGATCGCATAACTGTTTACTCTCTTTGATTCGTACGAGCTTATATGGTGCTGACGCTACTCGATTTTTAGTTGTACAACTAAACACACGAATTGGCTGCGAAACAATCGACAATCGCACTGGCGTGTCATAGATTAGTCAATTGTGTTCGCTCTAAGGCTGCAAATCCATCTCTTACTATTTTATATAGAGTAGAGAGGAAAATATGTTTCAAGGTTTTTGCATCAATTGTGACTGTCTCGATAGGGTGATAAGCAAAACCTCTCACGGAGATTACAATTGTAAAAGTAATAAAACAAAAAGGTATAGCGGTACATTTTATTTCCCATTAGTTAATAAGTACTAGTGCATGATACTATAAAAACAATCGTATCGCCACTGGTCATTGCCAATGGCGAGGTACAATGTCGCCTGACGATCGATGTGCCCCTACCACGAATTACTCATTTTACACTTATACTCGATTACTATAAAAATTACATTTGCCCAACAAAATGTATACAAACAAGTATTGTAAACTTGTGCAAATACAAATAACATGTTTACAATTGTTATTGGCAATTCCACGTTATTTGCGTTGAGTTTTCATCAATTGATGACCAATTTCTTTTATTTGTCAATCTTGATTGCCAATTTTGCTGTGTCAACTAAAAATGTTGCAAACGGTAAAATTTTCCGGTTTTAATTTCTTTTTTTTAAAAGCTGTAAGGGATATATTGAATAGATAACATCACAAAACTGCCATCGAACAAAAGATAAGAGTAATTCAATTGAAACTACGATACAGCCGTTAGAGGGCGTTGTTACGGAGGGAAGGGGAGGGTATAATAGACTCGGTGTTCAATTGCACGATTAGAAGTGGGCTCGTGGGAAGTATCAGCTGCGACCCTGTGCCCCCTCAAGGACCGACCTCGCTCTCTTATTTGTAGGACATTTACACATACGACCTTTTACACTCTCATGTGACAAGAGTGAATGAAATGTACCGAGAGATAGAGAACACAGATAACAAAGGTCCAGCTGTTTAGAAATTCAGTCATAAATATACACACGTAAAGAACTGTGCTACTACGACCTCATTTGACCTCCCTATAAGATCGCAAAATTATTCACAATTAGTAGTTCCATGAGATAATGGGCATCGAAAAGCACTACAAGAATAACATCTTTATTTTCTTAATGCATGTTGCATTAGACATGCAGGACTTTGGTTCGCTATCAAGCCGCACAGTGACGGAGGTGCTTATGCTGGAGATGAAGATGGCGCCCGCCGCTGGCGCCTACCTTGTGTCCGGTTACCCGCGCTCCATGCGAGACCTCGCTGAGTACACCGACAAGGTAATATCATATATTCACTTTGATATTAAACATAGATTTTAACATTGTTTTCTCCGAAGAGGTGGCAAATGAAACAAGCGCTGGTGCTTATGTGCCGCAGAAGCGTTGCCACATAATTTACACATATCATGGACAGAAAAGTGTTTTTATGTTGATATTCTCCACTACCGAATACAATTCCTTTTTACATTCTTTAAAAAGAAATGGATAGCGGAAGAACATATCTCTGAGATCAGATAAAACATAGAACATTTTTGCTTCAAATCTCCCATTTCTGAGGTCACGGTAGTGTCCAAGGCAATTTGTTATTTCCTTCTACCAATATCTCAACGTACACACCTACAATTACTTAAACATTCGTATCCAAATCCATAACTATCACGGTTAGAATAATATTGTCATTAGACAAGTAGCATACCAACATGGCCGTCAACAAAACATTGTTTATTAACGGTTATGCGTAGCCCCGCCCTTGACATACTGCTACCGATTTTTGTCAGCTCCGAATCGATCAACAATGGCGTACGAATCGACAATTCAAAGTCTTTGTGGATTAATGTACGTGTCAGCTTACTAAGAAAGTCTTTGTTGTCCTAACAATAAAGACAGTAAAAGCATAATTTCTTAAATTAAATATCAAAAAGATTTATACAAAAAACAGGAAATCTTACTTCTTACTAATATTATAAATGCGAAAGTTTAGATGGATGGATGTTTGTTAGCGTTTGTAGCCTAAACGGTTGGACGGATCTCCATGAAATTTGGCACAGGTCTAGAGCATAGTCTGGAAGAACACATAGGCTACTTTTTATCCCGGGAATAGTTACGGTTTTAATGTTTACTCGATCATTCTGCAACGGTTCAATATATCTTATTGAAATTTGGCATAGATATAAAACAAAGTCTGGAGTACACATAGGATAAGCTTCATCCCCGAGAAATGTCCGGTTCCCGAGGGATACGTAGCTTTTTGTAATTAATGTAGTTTGTATGTTTTCTAATACCACGCGGACGAAGTCGCGGGCAACAGCTCGTGTTGTATAATATAGTTGATATAAGCCTTGTACATGTATGGTAAATGTATGGAAGAGAAGCACATACTGTGCCGATAACACACTTAATGGATAAGTACATGATGATATAAGCCTCATGGGGTTGTAAGGCTGTACCAGACCGTCATTGCCCTCGTTAGATCCAGACAGTGAGCGGAGCAGTCGTGGTGAGCTGGCGACAGCGCGTGTTGGAGCGGCAAATAGAGTACGGCGCGCGGCTCGGACACGTCGTACTCAGCTTGGCGCGGATGGAGCTTGCACATTTCTACAGACACGTCGTGCCCGTCGCTGATTACTTCGACCACACTGGAATGCTTATTGTGGTCAGTAAGATACTTATAATTTTGCATCACTTTACATATTAGAAGTATAAATTGTTACCTTAATTATAAACAAGGTTAGGTGATAGCTTTTATCAATATTTCACGTTCAATTTTCTCTTTTAATCAATATTGTTTATCTTTATTGTGGTGATATTTAACTGTATGACGTCATCGTTATCGGTTATGGTCCGTAATCCTTAATTTATTACTTTTAATCAAACTATATACCTATTTTTTTTTGTCACGTAACATTTTCTGTATCTATCAACCGGCCCATTAGCTCAGTTGGTTAGAGCGTCGTGCTAATAACGCGAAGGTCGCAGGTTCGATCCCCTCATGGGCCACGGTAAATTTTTTGGCAAAATAGGCTTTAATTTGCTCAGTGCTAAGCTAGAGCAACTTAATAAAGTCATACATACTCATACAATCCTACTAATATAATAGAGCGTAAACACAGACTATTTTGTAGCATAGGATGTCAGCAGTCACAGCATATTTTTGAATAATCCATTCTTTAGTAATAAACCCTACACTCACATTACGCTTTAGGCTTTATATTTTCACTCTATTAAACTTAAATAAAAAACGTAAATAAATTGGATAAAACCTCAATGTGGGAAAGGAACCATAAACTACAAGTTGCCAACATTAAGGAAACAAAATTATTATGGTAATAGTAATTTTGACATTTGCAATTGAGAATTTGACAAATGTAAACAATAAAATAAAGTTTTTATAATTTCATGCGGATGAAGCCGCACGGGAAAAGCTTATACATACATGAAAAGGTGTCATTAAACTGTAAACATCAAGCTCTTGTATGTAGCAAAAAGTATTGTGGCCCATGAGGGGATCGAACCCGCGACCTTCGCGTTATTAGCACGACGCTCTAACCAACTGAGCTAATGGGCCCGTGGATATTGCTCCGTATAAAGACAGTGAAATTCATGAAAGATGACACCGCTCTAGCTTATACGTGTTTCTATCTATAGAATGGTATGCGTTGTGCTTCTCCTAACCAGTAATTTTACGTATACTAATTCTTTTTGATACTCCAATATCTCTATTGTTAAAACAATATAAAAATCGACTGTTTCTTTGCTTTTTAATCAATATATTATAGCCTACAAAACAATGAAGTATTCATACAAACTGTTGTGTAATTACGACACGGCAGAGGGCGGTAAGCCGATACTTTTCTTATCAAATATGCACCAGTGGAACGTTCAACTAGCAATTTCTTCAGATAGATGCAACTGTATATTACTTTCAGTTTTAACATGTTATTTTTTTAAATTGTAATATAGATTTTCTACCAATTTGTTATTAATTTTGCTAGGAGCTAGGTACTCACGAGACTGGTACAACATGGTGAATGGTGATTTAAAAAAAATCACTTACAGTATTTCTTAAAAAAAGTTTTGGCCCATGAGGGGATCGAACCCGCGACCTTCGCGTTATTAGCACGACGCTCTAACCAACTGAGCTAATGGGCCAATTGTTTCCTACAATAGAAAGTTATATTTTGATTTGTAATAGGCATTTCTTGATATAAAATCTCGTTAATTTCTTACTCACCTCTGATTTAGAAGTGTTTCTACAAATTTTACGATTTAAAATGAATTTGCAGATTTTTTAGTTCTATAAGTATGTGCGAGGAATATTACTGGTGTTTAGATGAATGGAAGTTTGTTAGAGTTTGTAGCCTAAACCACTGACCGGATCTGGATGAGTTTTGGCATAGATGTAGAGGATTGTCTGGAAGAACATATAGGCTACTTACTTTTAGTGTGTGATATAAACTCACGGGTACCCTCTTCTAATGTTAGTTATAATATTATTTTAGTTTATATAAGTTATGTATGAGAGACGGAAGCACTTGGTGTGGTTGACAAATCGATGTCCATCAATAAATTAGTTATAGAGTTTCGCCGCGACGCGTCGCATCGATCGCCGGCCGACGGTCAACGTACAATGTCATGTCATAAAAAATCCTGCCGATGTTGGTCTGAAGTCAACCATGAAAGTTCCTATCGCAACTATGCTGGATTACTGAAGTTCCCTTTTATTTTTAAATATAGTTACCTTATCATTATTTACTGATTCAATAATGTTACGTAGAAGTATTTTTCAGCGGAGTAAATCTCTAGTTACGTAGTTTGCAAAAGCATTTCAAGTTACCGAACGAGAAAACACTAAAGAATGCTTAATACTAGCTGTGAAACCGGCCATTAAAGACGTTAGTTACTAAGTGAATGGCTTAGTGTAGCCTTAGTATTAGAATTCTACTCTAAATCTGTTGAACCCTAATTCAAAAAGCTTTATACCCTTACTAAATCGTGCTTAAAAACTAGATAGCTTTGAGTCACGTGTAGATCGATAAATAATAGAATTAAGAACCGAAATCGTTTATTGAATAAAATTTAGTGTGTCACCAAATTATAGAGAAACTGACCGAAATACAGTCAGGTGGCGATGTTCTCTGATGAATAAATGAAATCGTTAGTTTCTTTGGTCATCAGTTGCTTATCGTTTTATGAATTTTTGAACGTACAGATGGCCGGTGGCGTGAGGCTAGGTCTCATTTCTTATGCAATTCCATTTGACGGTAATTAAACTTTTCATTATTGAATACTTTGTTTTGTAGATCAAGTTTCATTTTTACAGGCCACGTGTTTGTGTTCCATAGGTTATTGGTATGTTTTATTTAAATTTTCTCAGGTTTAAAACGAATGTTGCTTGTTTGTATTTGAAAGAGCATTGATATAAAATAATAGATATGTTAGAGTAACATAGAGTAACATTTCATCTCATATCTTAGTCACTTCAATGTTGTTTTATTTTATACTAGCTGTTGCCGTGCAACTTCATCCGCATGAAATTGTGAGAATTTTATTTTATTGTTTACATTTGTCAAATTATCAATGACAAATGTCAAAATGACATAATGATGACAACCTTGCTTCCTTGATGTTGGCAGCAACTTATGGTCTCTTTCACACATTAAGATTTTACCCAAAATATTTACCCTCTAAGTTTAATGGCGTGAAAATACATAGCCTAAAAAAGAATTGTTCAAAAATATGCTGTAATTGCTGACATCTTAGGCAACAAAGAAGTGTGTGTTTACGCTTTATAGTATAGATAGTATATATATCTATTAATGTTTTAAGTAATCTTTTCGATAACTAAATAAACATAATTTCAGTATTATTTGTTCTATGTTTTAGGTGAATGGTGAAAGAAATCCCGAAGAAGTGTACAAGGATTTCCGAGCTGCTGTCCTGCAGATCCTGGGTACTACAGAAGATGAGAATATTAATGGCGTCAGTGGAGTAGGGGCTAATGGTATACCAGGGGAAATAGTTGGCGTGGAGCCGGCGCCCGTTGGGATTAGAGGCAGAAGCATCAGGAGTCACGGACCTGATGGCAGGGGACAAATTCCAGACGGCGGTAGACAAGAGCCGGTGGTGGTCGACGAACCCTTGCCGGCAGCAGTACCAGTTGTGCTGCCTGTCAACGGAAATGTTGAAAGGATCGTTAGTCCAAAGGTAATGCAAAGACTTGTGAATTAAATACAAGAATTATTTTCCTGTACCACATGGCCCATTAGCTCAGTTGGTTAGAGCGTCGTGCTAATAACGCGAAGGTCGCGGGTTCGATCCCCTCATGGGCCAATATATTTTTTTGAACCAATAAAAATCTGTAAATAAAAAGTATTTTCTTCAGATATCTTCAGTTGTTTTGTAGATGTTTTTTTATCCGTGATTTATTAAGCCTTTTTGTTGCTGTAACCTTTCCAGGCTGAGGTAATAAGGGTGCGTGGTGCGGCGACGCGTGCGTGCGTGGTGTGCGTGGTGGGCGGGCCCGGCAGCAACAAGGCCGCGCTCTGCCAGCGCGCCGTTGCGCAGGCGCACGGCTGGACACACTACAGGTTGGTAAAACAACAAAAACGCCAGAGTAGGTAAAGATTATAATTTTAACAGAGTGATGTTAATATATCGCGTTAGAATCTCCCACAATTATATAAGTATACATCCGCATACATAGCTTCCCTTAAGACTGGACTTTACAAATAAGTTTTAAGAAAATTTAGTGTACTCTCAGATATCAGCCGACTGTTTCAGTAGCTAAATGACTGATGCCAGATTTTTGAAGTTTCCATTTTTTTTATCAATAACTAATATTACCCTTAATAATTAAGCTGTATGTTACTTGAGTGCGAAGGAGCCGGCTGAAAATCAGCGCAGGAACGGCTTAGTCCGTCCTGCATACGCTGAGCTGGCTACCTTTTGCCACGAATGTGTTTCCTTTAGAATAAGTCCTTTTATGTAATTTCTATTTTGTGGCAATAAATACATATTCATTCACTCATTCATTCATACGTAGTGATTCATTATCAGTATAAGGTTATCCTAAGTTTCAACGGAGTAATAGTTACAAACCTCATTTTGTAAATTTATCGAATCATAAGCAAAGTCAAAATTGTTTCTGAAACTGCCCATGAATGCAACAATAAGCCAGCTTTCTGATAACCCATTATTGTCTTTCAATACGTTTCTTGTGTTCAGCTTGGGGCAGCGTCTCCGCTCGCTGGCGGAGTCTGGCGGCGGGGCGGCGTCCGACGGCGCGCTGAGCCGCGCGGCGCTGGCGGGCGGCGAGCTGGTCTCCAACGAGCTGGTAGGGCGGCTGGTGCGCGCTGCGCTCGGAGACGCCGCGCGCACAGGACACGGGCTAGTGCTGGACGGCTACCCGCGCGATTTACAGCAGCTGGATATGTTCGAGAAAGAGGTGAGCGTGTATTAAATGAGTCACAATGAGAAGTAGCTAGGAATTAAAGTAGCATTGTCAAAAATAGGTATTCTATTTTAAAGCATACCAGCGATCCGCCCCGGCTTCGCACGGGTCCTATGTTGATACAAAATCAGTTGTGAAGTTTGATAGATCTAAGCATACTAATTCGCGTGTTGTTTAAAGTTGAAGCTATCGCCCCGCATGGTGCTGGTGGACTGCTCGAAGCTGCAGCTGGGGCGAGGGCGGCGCGACGACTCCGTGGCCGCCTTCCGCCGCCGCCTGGAGGTGTTCCGCGAGCTCAGCCTGCCCATGCTCAAGACGCTCGACCACCAGCACAGGCTCACCATTGTAAGACAAACGAGTCTACAATACAGTCACCACTGACCATGCTACTGTAACATTACACATGTAACATAACACTTTCACTTTTTATTTATTTAGTACTTCTATAAATACGATTTTCTTTCTAACATTCCTGATACGGTAGGATATGGTAATGTTACAGTTTATGTGATTTTATTTCTTGTACATAAATAAAACATCATGACCAGGTGGACGGTGACACTGACTCGGCAGAAGTGCAGGAAGAGTTCACACGAGTGCTGCTGGAGGAGATGGAGAAGGCGGAGGCGCTGGCCGCCATCCCGCAGGACAATCATATCACACAACCAGGTAACATCAACAAAAAGTCTTGGCCCATGAGGGGATCGAACCCGCGACCTTCGCGTTATTAGCACGACGCTCTAACCAACTGAGCTAATGGGCCGGTTGAACATATGACTTGAAATTTTTCATCGAGTCAAAAAATGGAGTCAAGTAGAATTAAAACGTTTATTTATTAATAAAATGTTAAAACTACATAGACTGTTTATTTGCAGAGGAGACGGCGTTACCGCAAGGGCTGCCGCGCGCCAACGGTGTTGCCAACGGCGTAGCGCGGGCGCACAATGGCGTCTTTCACAACGGCGCACTCGCTAACGGCTTTGCTGCCATCGCTAATAACAAGGTAAAAACTACCATAAACTAAAGAAAAATGTTTCTGTCTTTTTGAATACTGCAGTGATGTTCCCCTAGCGGAATCATTGGCATCTGATTCCTTTTAAAAGCCAATGAGATCCAAAAACAAAGGTGTTAAACGACAAAACGCATCATCGTATCAATTCAGTCACTTTAAGCAAGTAATTTAGAGGTTAGTTGTCAACATTTTTAGATTATCGAGGGTTATGAAGTATTTTTTTATTGTTACAGGTGAAACCGATTATAAACAACATAAATAGGATCCCAACGATCTCACAAATGACACACGACGACGTCAAGAGATTGTACCAGCAGAACACTGGAGACGTTTCTCTCACACATCACATCTGAACAATCGGTGATATAAATAACTTTAAGAAAAGTACGGAATAATCGTAAAGTACAAAAATAACCTATAAATTGATCAAATCAAATTAAAACGTTCTTAAGTAACACTTAACACTGCACCCATAATTTATGTTTAGGTTAATCAGCTTTAATTTGTATTATTATTTTCGCATAGCAACACTAAAATATTACTTTTTAAACAAATCCAACGGTTAAATCAATTAATTTACCGAACGTACCTGAGAATATAGAACAATGAGATAAAGTAAAATGTGCCTAAACTAATAGTTCTAATCGAATTTTAAACACGTAGTTTTAGGTTATTTTACAGTTAGTATGATAAAATAGAAATAAAACTACAACTTAAGTTATAAGAGTCAAGTCATCAAAATTAATAATTACGATATATGTTTAATTCATAAAATTTTTGATTAATAAAATTGTAGTTTTAAAAAATCTAACCTAAAAATATTTAAAATACGCACATAAAAGTCAAGTGCCTTAACACTATGTGGTATTTTCGGTCGATGTCTAAAGGACAAAATTATATTATTATATTGTATATGGTATTAGATAAAAGTAAATTATTACCTTAAATAATATGTTAACTAACTAATTTGGAATAAAAGTTAGCATTTATTACTAACTTGAGTTCAGAAATTACATTTTCATAATTTTGGTGACCACATTACCCAAATGTAACTTTGTATACGATCTCATGTTTATTATTTTTGTAAAACGGAACGTTAAAAATACTAACAGAAATATTTTAATATAAATTTTAATACAATATTTAGAGATTAAATAGACATATAAGTATATTAAAATTATTGTTTGAATATAAGAAATAGTGAATAATAATGAAATAAAAATATCACTTAGATGTATACTGTCACAAAATCGGGGCCAACTTAGACTTTAGATACAGTAGTCAATAATTATTAGATGTAGTAACATTAACACAGCAAGAAACAAATACATTACTTAGGCATAGATTTATAACCTATAAATACTTAATTCGGAGTATAAAAGTACGGCAAATCAACTCCTTTGAAGACCTTTTGTTAGGGTTTTTTCATCATAGATAATACTATTATAACATATTGTATTGTCTGTGGTTATACCTACTTGTCATTTATACTCCATTTATAGGTTATGTGTCTATGAATTTAGTGGTTACAGTTTTAAAATTAACCGTTTTCCATGTTTCTGTACGTGTCTTACGTTTACCAAAACATATCATGCCTCTAAAGGATTAACACATATTTTACACATTTTTCTATAGTAAAAAGTACCGGTTGATGGATTCCTGTAATATTAATTCAGCAGAAAATATTTCAAAATTAGGTTATTTTAGTTGTCACACTTATTATAATATCGCAACTATGCAATTTTTTTTTTAAATAAATTACATAAATTATCTTTACATAGAATTACGCCTCAGTTGTTTTTTTTTAAATTTTTACATAAAAAAAATGTTGTTAAGTGTAATATCTTTTTTTTTTTTTAATTTTTAATCGTTATAGTAATATTGAGGTAATAGTTTTAATCACTTATGTAACTGTAGATTATATTTATTATGTTGTTAATAAAAAGCACCTTTTATACACGTTTGCATTTTTATTACAACCTTTTTTACAGGGGGCTTTGTCGACGAAGCGACGATAACGCCCCATAAGTCTTAAACAAACAAAACTTAATTAACTGACTGTTTTCTTAAACAGATGTCGGCCAACTTAAACACCATCTTGGCCTTGTCCGAAGACGGGTAAGCCAGGATAGTGTTTAAGTGACCGACATTACATCCAAATTACAACCTTAAATATTGAAATTCTCAAGTACGAAGTTACTTTATGATGTATATTCAGCGTGTTTTTGTTGATTATATAATCTGTGTCAAATCAATACCTGTGCATTGCTATAATTTCCCGCCACAACCCTATGACTTTCCCGCGCTGTCAGAGGTCGCCACTACGCTATTGGCGGGCTGGCACAATTTTCGTGGCCTTGACCGAACTACAATCAAATCGTACCCGCAGTCGGTCCGTAGACTTCGCGTAGGTTGGTTGTCGGTCGTGTTATTTAATATCTGTTATCGCTAGATTACGTACAGAATGGTGAGTATTTTGTATGCACTTTCACTTAAAAAATGTCTTATTATGATTTTAATTCAGAATGATTGAAATATCGAAGAGATTCGTACAGATGTTTGAGATTTTTTGGTTTCAGTGTTACGTCACATTGCGTTAAAAATAGATATTATATTTAGCTAGTTTTTTGTCGAGACTAGAGTGTTTTATAATGAATTTGTTTTAGTTAAAATTGCGTAACATCTAATAAGCTTGTAGTAGAAAATGGAAAGAATGTATTGAGAAAAATATTTCATAAACGGTCTTTGTTAATATCACTATTGTACCCACTTATCATTTAGCAAATATATTTTTCTGTATTTGTATAAATGCATCAATTATGCTGTGATAAGATGAATGGACAATACTATCAATTATTGCGATAATAAAAAAGTTTTATAATACTACTAGCTTTCGCCCGCGACTCCGTCCGCGCGGAGTTAAAAAAAATACAAGTAGCGTGTTCTTCCAGACTATCCTCTATATCTATGCCAAATTTCATCGAGATCAGTTCAGCCGTTTAGGCAACAAACTCTAACAGACATCCATCAATCTAAACTTTCGCAATTATGTTAGTCAGATTACTAGATAAATTACATTCTTAATTATGAAACTGAAATGTCTCATCCAAAGTTACATTACATGGTACGAGTAAATCATTATTTACTTATTATAGGATCGACGCACAAGGATTTTTATCCTCTTCCGTCAAATGTCGTCACTCCCTTCTTGATTATGTCACCTTTAACCTATCTCTTTCTATGTTTACACCTACCAATGGGGTCCTTATAACTAAAATTCTAGAATTGGCATGAAAATTGTTTATAAAAATATTATTTTATAAAAACACAACGTTACAGTTAGTATTTCATTTAATGAGAACCTTTTCTTCTTGAAGACAGTTATTCATACTATCATACTAATATTATAAATGCGATAGTTTATTTTTTTTTAATTAATTATAGATTTAAATGACTTTATTATTATTATTTAGGCTACTTACTTTTTTATTCCATGAGGACAGAGTCGCGGGCGAAAGCTAGTTAGTCATAACAACAAACAACGGTATTGTCCGTTACTGTTTTGGCGCCAAAATGACTTTTGAGGTTATAGCAACGATAAAAGTTACGGTATTGTATTGAAAGGCAAAAGCGAAATTCAGATGCCGTTGATAAGTTACATAACCAATCGATTGTTTGAATTCTCATAATCTTGAAATGTGATAACTTCGATTGGAATAAACATAGTTATTTACATTTCAGGATTAATTCGTTTTATAATAAAAATAGCATGTTAAAAATTAATACCGCGTGTTTAGTCATACTGTGAATTTTTGCAACAAGAGCTGTCAAAAAACATGTCATCCTTTTCATACCCTATTAACAAAGAGAGATAGCAATACTTTTTTTTAAAGTTAGTTTCACACACGTCTGTAAAACCTTTACAAATTGACCTCCATATTGAAGAAGGATGCACTTTGTTTACAAATTTAAGCCTATAAATAATAATCACTAGCTGTTGCTTGCGATTTCGCCTACGTAAATTTAAAAATAAAAAGTATAGCCTATGTTACTCAAAGATAATGTAGCTTTTCAATAGTGAAAGTTTTTTGAAATCGGCCCAGTAGTTTTTGAGTTTTTTCAATACAAACAAAATATAAAAAATACAAATCTTTCATACTAGTATTAGGGCATGTACCATCACTGGCTGATAGAGGCTCAGATAGCTTAAAAATGACGTCACTCTCAGATAAAGGAACAAAATCCGATATTTCCATCACATATTTTACACGTTCGATTATTATCAGACAATTTATAATTTGGTAGACCTGAATTTAATATTTTCTAAATTATCTTCCAAGCTTTTAAACATTTTAATCCTGTTTTTAAAGCTTCTAAATTCTACCTTAAAACTATACTTTCTTTCTGATGCATTTTACGTTTTCCATCTATAAAAAGAATTAACATTAACAGATGTATTTGACGCAATACAAGATACATGTAAATGTTGAAAATATTCCAATATGTTTGTACAAGTTCGTTCTCGCGGCGGATCTTGGCACGGTGTGCCGGCATTAATTCTCGCAGAGAAACATAACCTTCAGTGTTCAGATCTCGATGAAACAGCAAGCTTATACCGAGAGCTTTTTGTTATATAAATTGTTTTTCCTAGTGATTGTGTTCGTTTTGGCTGAATTAGAATTCCAACGGAATTATTTAGAGGTATGTTGGTGTTTAAAGAAGAATTATCTTCTAATTGCAATTTTACTAATATTATAAATGCGAAAGTTTAGATGGATGTTAGTTAGAGTTTGTAGCCTAAACTGCTGAACGGATTTCGATGAAACTTGGCATAGACGTAGAGGATAGTCTGGAAGACACAAAGGCTATTAACTTTTGTTTTTTTGAACTCTTTGCATACGAAGACGCGCGCGAGAACTAGTTGTTACAACTTTGGTCTGTTACAAGTTTGTTGTTAATTTATTGAGTACGTAAAAGAACTTTAGGGTTACAAAATATTATGACACTATCGAAACAGCTCCTATCTGTCTAGTGTCCTGTCTTCTAGTATTTTAGTAGACTTAATAACATCGCAAGCTCCAGCTTTTCGTTTACTCGGAGTCACCGTAAAAAGGGAGTTAAAAACCGACAGATCCTTCTCATGTGACTATGCAGTATATAGGATCGTCATCATCTTTGAAAAGAAAACTTTTGAAGACATTATAATAAAACAAACATTTTTGTACGACCGTAACGTCCTCGCTTACCCAATTCGGACGTCTTTCACCTTGCCCTCAAAGTCTGAGTTCAAATTAGATTTTTTCATGAATACAAAAACATTTACAAAGTTTCTGAATAATTTCTATAAAAATATTTAACTTCTATACTAAATTATGTGTCAAATAGATACCACTACAAAAGTCGCAGTTAAAGTTCAAAAAAAGTTGAAAAAAATAGTTTAGAGAATTACTATAGCCTAATAATGATGTCATCTATTTGAAAGTAACTGTTCATCGTTAAAAAGCATATCAAAACATAATACAGTAGAACCTCGGTTACTTAAAAATCTTCTAAAACATATTGTGTTTCCCTTGGACTTTAACTTATCGAGGTTCCACTGTATTTAGGTACACTAGTCATCATAATCCTCCTTATCCTACTCCCGTTAGGGTCGGCGTAACAGGTTTTTGTCCTCCACATCTCAGTCATCACTCCCTTCTTGATCATAACCTTTCACGCAATCCATCTATCTCTGTCCAGGTCTACCTCTACCGATTTACCACACTCATAACTAACGTTCTCCTTGTAACATGCGATCATCCCTCGTAGCACATTAGCTGAGTTCATGGCCCCAGCGTCATTTGGCAACCACATATTAAACAAGTTTATTGGCAAACGAGACAATGCTCTCTTTAACAATTCAACTTTCAGTATGTGTTTTAAGCAATTGTTCTGAGCTATATGACTTTCTGTATAATCTTCCAATTCTTATTCCCCTTTTTCGCGCAATATATCCATCTCTAAGGCTACCTCCAACGATATACCCCTACACTAGAACATTCAAAATTCTCTGTATGTAAACTAAGCTTTCGTTCTAGGCACTTGATTTCTGTAAATAGATAGGTCATTTCTTGGGAATGACTGCATGTACTTATCTCCAGTTTAAAAGCACCTTTTGAAGTTACTGCAAGTTAATTAACTATATATTTTTACTACCGTTAATGCCACAGCGGCTAAAATCAAATTATTTGAAAGTACCTGTCTTTTATACAGCCTGTCTATTTATGGAGGTTAGTGTTAGAACGTCATGCCTTGAAAGGGTTGGTCATGATTTCTGAACGTCAATATCAAAAATGTCGCAACAAAATTGACAGTAAACAAATAAACAAATACTTATTTTACATAACTAATGTATAGTTAAATAAATGGATTTGGAAAATAATTGCTACCCTTGCAACCAACCCGTACAAGAAAAAAAGCCTCCCTGTCCTCTCCAGTGTCAGTCGCCGAAATGTGCGGCCTTCAAATCCAAGGTAGATTTCGATTTTAAAGTTTCCAACTTTGAAGATAGTTAGCATTTACTATTGGGACAGTTATATTGTACAGTCGATATAACTAGGACATAGTTATCCAATCCACGCCTTTACTATTTCGAGATTTTAACAATATGACAGGAGTAATTTGAAAATGAAAATGAAAATGAAAAAATGTTTATTTAAATCCAACAATCATGTATACACGGAGTAACTAGTAATTAGTAAATAGTAAATATAAAGTAACTAGTAAATTTAACTAGTAATTTTATTGAAGCTGCTGGTATAAACCTTGTTGTTTGATTATAGTATCTAGAACCGGATTTTCTACTACATTCAATATATCAAACATTATTCAACTTCCAGTCGCCAATAGATACAACCAAGACGCCCATAGTGTGGGTGCTAGGAGGTCCGGGGTCTGGCAAGGGCACCCAATGCGAGAGGATCATCGCCAAGTACGGTTTCACGCACCTTTCAACCGGCGACCTGCTGCGCGCGGAAGTGAAGAGTGGCTCGGAGCGCGCCAAATGTCTCACATCTGTTATGGAGCGGGGTAAATGACAAATAACTACAGTACTAAAAATTAAAGGAGGTACTTAGTGATGATTTAAATAGGAAACTACAAGGACTACTAGTAACCAATTACTCTTAATCTACAAGCACGCGTGCGGAGAAATGTAAATCAATTAGTTTTCCTAACATCTATCTGTCTCGCTCACATTAGTTGACTCCACGTTAAGTGAGAGTAAGATGTCAGTAGGTTTATTTGTTCCGACGCGTGGTTGCAGGTGAGCTAGTCCCTAACGATACGGTACTGGAGTTGCTGCGGGAGGCGATGATCGCACGCGCTGCCGACTCCAAAGGCTTCCTCATCGACGGCTACCCTAGAGAGAAATCACAGGGCATTGCTTTCGAGAAATCCATCGCTCCTGTTACGGTGAGTTTTCCAACTTTAATTGCTCGTATACAGTTGTAATTAGTTTACGATTATGCATTTCGACTAATCAATCTTTACAGATTTAGCATTATTTTCTTTATTTGGCGATGAAACAAATTAGCGGAAATTGTCATTAGAAACTGGTGAACTTCTTAGCTATACTTAGAGCTTTGAGTAAACTATCGCAATACTGTTTAGTCGCGCTTTGATTCCTATGAGCTTATATGAAGGTGCTTTTTTAGTTGTGCAACTAAACAATTGAATTGCGAAACAATCGATAATGGCACAACAGCAAGTTTAGTCAAACGTGTGCCGCTAAGGCGGAACTAAGGTTCTGGGTTTATTTTTTTAATAAAAACTTTTCGGTATATCATTTTCAACTCGATTTTTACAACTCCATAGTTTTCATCACAGGCGTCCCCAACCGATGTAGCATGCAGTTATAGATATGGTCTTTCAAAGTAGGCATTGCATGCAGGCCCTTGATTTATGATAATTGTATCAGGTAATCCTATACTTCGAGGCGTCATGTGAGACGTTGACGAAGCGTCTGTTAGGCCGCGCTGCCAGCTCTGGCCGTGCTGATGACAACGAGAACACAATAAAACTGCGCCTCAAGACTTTCCTTGATAACAACGACCTCGTGCTCGCGCAGTACCCTGAGAAACTGAGGAGGGTATGTATGCACTAATTAAGTTACATTTTTTTTATAATATAAGGTGGCAAACCAGCAAGCGGCTACCTGGATCCACCGAAATGGAAAGCAACCGCTGCCCATAAACATCCGCAATTGCAGATGTGTTGCCTACCTTTCATTGACGTAGGAGGAGACGCATATAAAGAGGACAGTTCCCCCTTCCTATACGCCTCCTCTACCGTCAAATCTACTTTTCCTTCTTCAGAGAAGGGTGGAAAGGGAAAGGGACTAAAATTAGGCCTCCGACACAATCAATGAAACTTGACTAATTGTTAAGATCACTGACGAAATAACGAATGGAATTTAAAATTTGTATCCGCAAAAACGACTTGTTGTGTCGATCGAAGATAACGACAGCGGAAACTTAATGCAAGTAAATATTGTTCAAAATGATTTTAGACGTTTAAAAATATTGGCAATGTTTTATTGTACAAATTTGGTTTTAATTTCATAGTGATATTTGTTACACTTATTTCTTGCAGTTTAATAACATTGCGAAACTTAGGTTTCAAGCGTGACAAAAACAATTCGTCCTAATTTTGCTGAATTGACCTTCCGTGTCTTGCAAGGAAATTAACCGAGTATCGTTTTAGTTCAGATCGATTATTCTAATGAACAAATGGTATCCGCATTGCAGCTACCAACAATATCGATTATTTAAGCCATTACTGTTTATTAAGCTTCTTACATCGCGTCGATTTTTGTCTTTCTCGATAATTGCATTGTACTCGGTATTTCAGTTGGCATTACGGGAACATGAGTACTCTTGCGCTTGACGTGACAACTTATGAGACGGGTTGTTGTATTGATGCTCAATATTGATCCTCTTATCAGAACAAATGTGTGTGTAAGTTTCGTTGCTAAACGCTAGACTTTCTGACAATTTTAACTGCAGAAAACTGTTGTTAAAACTGCGTAAATAAACAAAACTTTAACTTGACAGTTAAATATTGCCTACTCACGCAGTTTTAACTGTTCAATTAAGTCACAACTGAACTAACTAATCTAAAGTATTGATTTCGATTGTTCCAGATAAACGCAGAAGCGACAGTCGATAGCATCTTCAGCGAGGTGCAGAAGGTCCTGGACCCTATCGTGGCCACTAAATGAGCTACGACGACGCACAGCACAATATTGTACATAAAACTACTATTACTTAACTGATCATTAAATTATTTCTTTATTCTATTATATTTGATTATTTAACAAAACTTTTATCTTGTCTCACTTATAGCCGGTTTCCCAGCTATATTTAACCAGTGTTTTTAGTTCGATAATTTTATGAAATGCTTTCGAACTACGTAAGAGTTTTACTCCGTTGAAACATGTCAACCTAACACAAATGAAATGCTAGGTAATATCGAAAACTTCAGAAACCCAAGTTTAAAAAATATTAGCTTTTATAGTCACTTGATGTCTCAATGAGTGCGGAATTTAAAACTTAATTAGTATACTATGCGTTATTCCTGACTATGTCCTACATTTAGTTCTAGCGAGATTCGTTGAACCATTCTGGAAATGCACAGTAACATACATCTAAAATGTCGAAGTTTTTTGGTCGTTGCAGTTTTCATTCATCGAATTTGTATGTAGCGATCCATAAATTTTATTTGTGGAAAACATAGTAAATAATAAAGTAATTTAATTCAATTAAAAGCTTACAATTCTTAGAGGTTTGCTTAAATTCTATGCTTTGCTTTTCTCTAACATACCAAACATTATGTCTTACTAGTTATAAAGAAATTTAAAACTTAAAAAGGCCGACTCCACTTCGATTGTATGCCATCAAATCTCAGAGCCTAGAACAGTGAAAACCCCCTTAATAGATTAATGAAGGTCCTCTTGCTGCTTCTCCCTCTGACGCACGGCGACCGCCGTTTCCACCAGAAGGTACAAGCATTTAAACTTGTCCCTCTCAAGCTCCGAATTTGCCGGCACCACCTGCACCTGCAGTAATGGTTCCAATTTAATTTATTGCGATTTAAAACTTACAAACACAATTTGTTTATGGCAACACTAAATTTAACCTGTCATATAATCTATGGAACCATTCAAACTGTCAGGTGACGCCGGCATTAAAATACGAAAAGAAAACGAATCGTTTAGAAAACAAAATTTATTCTGTAATAGATAACTGAATACGATCCTCTAAGATAAAATTACGGTAATATTACTTCTCTTAATAGAAACTAAAGGTTAGTTCAAACTGATATAATATTTAATTTAATACCGACCTCGCCAACAGATTGTAGTTACAATTTAAACGTTATAAGGGCATCTAATTATTATATTAGTGATTACGACACCATAGGGTGAAAATATCGTACCCTAGAATTCACTAAACGGCTTTGTAAGTATTCCTTATAGCCTATTAAATTTTAACGCATTTAAAAAATGCCCACAACTGACTTTAAAACGATAAGCGAAAGAGTATTGGGGCAGACTACTTTTAAAAATTCTTATAGTAAGCTTTAGAAATTTTTGTGCTACTATTTTTGAAGCTTAATTACATATCCTTAATTTAATTATCTTTATTAGTCTAGTTGGTGTTTATTTTGAATATCGTCTATTGTCTATAGACAGAATGGATGAAGTTTAGTTAAGCAGTTGGGATACAATATTCATGTATCAGTCCTGTTGTTGTGGCACCACATGTCGGTGGTTGCCACTTCCAGCTCCATGGCGACGGGCGGCGGCGGGCTCACCTGTGCCCCCAACAAATAAGCTACAAATATTTGTATCAAACCATTTCAACAAGACATCACCAGACTTTTGGAGTGTTCTGGATCTGTACGATCAACGTCTGAAGCGTTGATAAAATCTCAAACTACCTAATTATTGGAAGTTATTTGCTAGCTGATCTCCGGCGATATCTGTGTAATATTGGTTGCTATCACCTGTGTGTGCAGCGGCTGATGCAGACGCGGCAGCTGCGTCGCCCAGCCGTCACCATCATTCTCGACCTCACCCTCCACCAGCTGAGACGAGCTCATCGTCACCACTCCACCAGATCTACGACAAATAAAAAATTAAATCAGTTATTTTCAAAATCTGCTCTTGGAAAATAGACGGAAGTATTTGAAGACTGGCACCAAAACCGGTCTTATTATTGATTATTAAGAATCCTCAAATTGGTCAATTTTACTAAACTTGTATACACTCTGGGTTAAAAACACATTACCCTCTGATAGCAGGATGCAGGTCCCTGTCGTCAGGTCCATAGCGGATGACGGATTGCCAGACGGAGGGGTCATACTTGACCTCCTCCTCGCTGACGGCGCTCGAGTATCCCTCCTCTGCGTCGCCCAATGCGTCACTACGGTACACCAGCAGCCCATCGCCGTAATCATGCCCGCGACTGTTGTCCACCACGTTCTATGACATTGAAATTAACAATCTATTTACCAAAAAATGTTCTGCTTTGGAATTTAAAGCTATAGCAACCTGCATAATGTCCTTACCTCGACTTCGACTCCGCCCCAGCCAGCGACAGTGATGTTCGCGGGTGCGAGACCGAGTCCAGAGCCCGAGGCAGGCAGGCCGAGCGCGCCTAGGGCTCCCAAAGCAGCGCCAGGCGGCTGCTTGCGCCCTCGCCGCGAGATCGTATAGTGCACGGGGTCGTGACCTTCGCGTCGGATCATTTCAGGCAGGATGCGTCGCCTGGCATTTATGAACCAATTGCAAACCTAATAGAACACAGTAAACGCTTAGTACATAAGTCCTAATTACTATTAGAAAAATGTATGTGGATGAGATGATTGAATAAACCTGAAGAACGGTTAGGTTAGCCTCCTGGCTAAGGGCCAGTTTCTCCGCGTCGCTGGGGTAAGCATTGTAGCGATGGTCGTAGAGCCAACGCTTGAGAATCTTGACAGAATGCTTGGGCAAGTTGCCGCGCCGCTTCCGCACTGAGCCCACTACCACGGCTTGCGGCGGCGGCAGGCGAGCCTGCAGCATGGGCGGCCGCAGCCCCGCCTCCGCCTCCCACTCCGTGCCGCTCTCGTTCTCGTCAGTCGATGATGTTGACGGAAAGCGATCGCGCGCTATAACAAACGGCTTGATAAACGAATTTATACTTTGATACAGCAGAAAGTCATATTTACTCCCGTTTTTCAAAGGTTCAGGTTAAATCTATTAAATCTATCTTATAGGTATTTCGGTAGGCTAGAGTATTTTGTTGTCCTACCCTCACTCAAAATACCTCCAGAGTTGCTGAAACCATAGCCCCTTCTACTACTTACTTCGTTGCTTTAAACTTATGAACGTAATATTATAAAAGTTTTTAAATTATTTTAGTATCTTACATAAGTAACAAATCAAAACACACATTTGAACATGTTGACAGGGATTCGTTTCAATATACAGTATTAATTTCTTAGTGAACGTTCATGCGGAATAGACTTAAAAAATAAGAATTGCGCGAAATGTTGGATGTTGTTTATGTAATACGAGTCATATACATTCCTAGTACAGCAGCAGATAGATAAAAGCAAATACTAACGCAATTTGATCTTCATAACTTTGATGACGGACTTGCGCAGGTTGCTGATGTTGTCCAGCCTTGCCAGTTAGATTCCCGCGCCGTGATGACACAATCCGCTCTTAGACAGGAGGAATTTATTCTGTCGTTCTTAGACAGAAGAAATGTCTGAAATCGTCAGTGTCGTCAGACATGCGATCCTGGGCCGTCCGAGCAACAATGAACGAATATTTTTGTTTTATAAAACGATGCGCTTTTGTGACAATCGACGACATGCACTGTCAATTGTCACGGTGAAGCCGATTTTGAAATTTTGAAAAATATAAAACTTTTGTAGCCGGACAGTTGTGCATTGCCAGCATTTCTATTGTGTGGAAACAAAGAGGTTACATATTTGTTGTTATTTAAAATGTTTGTGAAAAGGATTTCTTGGATGTTTACTATCCAAAATTTTGTTTTAATACCTATGCTCCTGGGTTCGATTCCTAGTCGAGAATAATGTTTGTGTTGCATATATGATATATTTTATCTAAGGGAAATATCGAAGCGTATAATACTTGATTTTTGACGTTTAAAAAGAAAAATACATTATTAAATACTGGCTAGTTTAATAAGACCACCATAAAACAAAAGCTATTTAAAATATGCGTATACAATATTCAAGAGCACAAGTCCTAGGTGACTAGGGCGTCAATGGGCCGCTTCCTTATCTTCGTGCACGGTGACTGGGACAGGCGCGTGGGGTACGTGGGGTGCGTGGGGCGCGTGAGGCGCGTGGGGTGCGTGGGGTGGCTGGTAATGTACTGCGGGCGCGGAGAGGGCGCAGGGCGGGCTCTCCTCCGACCTGTTGTGACTCTGCTCTATCGTGTCTGACAGGATCTCCTTGAGGGTCGACGCGAGAACTTTCGGATTCCCGCTACTGTCCAACTAAAATACACAAGTTCAGGTTACAGATAAAAAGCGAGCATTAAACAGTAATATACGTCTACTAAAAGGCCTAATAGACGACAATTTAGAATTTAATTAAAAATTTGCACAACCCCTCACACGGCTAATAGAGCATACAGTAGGGTATAAGGGTATACCGTGATAACGTGTCCTCCAAAGCGTTTGTGCACATTCTTAACTTTGTGGGCGGCGTCACGAACAATGTCGCGCGCCGCGTTGATCTCCGATTCAGGCCTGCCCAGCTCAGACAGCTTGTTCTGTAGACGAGTCGCTGCCACCTTAAATGGCAACTAAAAACTTAATGTTGGGTTCATTGGTAAATAGCAACGCAACAACTCCAGTACGTTCAGTTCGAGATTCAACGACTTCTCAAAGGGGACCTCTGGTCTTCCAACATATTTACTAGGAACTGGACAATGTATAGTTTACTTGGAATTAATCCTATAGTAGCAGGCTGTACTACCGCTTATATGTACCAGTATAGCTTTGAGTTTTATTCTTTTTTTTTAAAGACTAAGGGCCAGTCCTACCAAATTATAAATTGTCTGATAACAATCCAACGTGAAAAATATGTGATGGAATTATCGGATTTTGGAAGTACGTCATTTTTAAGCTATTTGAGCTTCTATCAGCAAGTGGTTGGACAGGCCCTTAGAAAGCTTCAAGAAGTGTGCGTATCTCACTATATTTCATCATTTAAATACTGTTTCTTTAAATGTCTTTTTTGTTTAAAAACTTGAATCACCTCATTATCAACCTGGAGTGCGACAATCTTTTCCGGCCATTTCACCTGACTATTGAATATGTTCGACATCCGCGGGTTCTTTGGGAAGCCGACCAGTATGTAGCCTTTAGCATCCTGTTGCGACAGCATCGCTTCTTTTATCAAATCCACTATTAATTGCTGTCAATAAAAATCATAACACAATATAGAGTACTAGCTGTTCCCCGCGACTTCGTCCGCGTGGAATTAGAAAACATACGAACTATAAATAACAAAAAGCTACATATCCCTCGGGAACCGGACATTTCTCGGGGATGAACCTTATTCCATGTGTACTACAGACTTTGTTTTATATCTGTGCCAAATTTCAATAAGATATGTTGAACCGTTGCAGAGAGATCGAGTGAACATTAAAAAACTAAATTAATGAATCCCACGGGAACCGTAACTATTCCCGAGTTAAAAAGTAGCCTATGTGTTCTTCCAGACTATGCTCTAAACCTGTGCCAAATTTCATGGAGATCCGTTCAGCCGTTTAGGCTACAAACGCTAACAAACATCCATCCATCCATCCATCCATCCATCTAAACTTTCGCATTTATAATATTCGTAAGATTAGTAAGAAGTAAGAAGTAAGATAATTATAATGTGTCTCCGAAAAAACGTTTAAAAGTGTAACGTTCAAAACTGTTTGCATAAGATTAGGTGAAGTGATTTTGACATGCACCTAAACGCACAACATGCAAGAACTTTCAACGATAACTTTAAAATCATACTTCCGGTATTTCCTCTTGCGCCTGCAATTTATCAGCGATGAGTCGTCCTCTTGCCGTGTCCATATCCGCCTCGGTCCGGACCAGCTCGCCTGGCCGGATCATGATATAGCCGGTGATGCTGGAGATGGTCTGCGCAACCGTCTGGTTGCCAGCGCCCGGTACACCGTTTACGAAGATCACCGGTAGATGGCGAATCGGTGACATATCGTATACTGTATCCTCCTTAGACAAAATAAAACTTGAAATTACCTTTAATTTAGAGTTAAGACCCTATTCCACTTAGCTATTAGTCGCACGACTGGTAATTTGTATTTAGATAAATAGATAGTTAGATGTAAAAAATTGTTTTAGTATGTGTGCATGTTGCTTTTAATTAAATTATAGGACGTCCTTCAAAGCATGTAGTTTTTGGTTAGTGAAGTACATTTCAGTTCTAAAAGAAATGTAAACCCTGAAATAAATTAGGTGAATTTTCGTCTTATTTGTGTTCCAACTCTAGACGGCTTATAGTAATTTGTAAATTGCGTTAATCCTTTGGCAAAAGTTGTTATAAATATCAGTTGCTGATATGATAAACATTGTTTTATTTACAGTTCCTATAGTATTTATATTGTAAAAGTAATGGAGCCAGGTATTGTCAAAATCAGGTGTCTCTTCTATCATCTTTGTCACTTCTATGTTAATTTCCCGATAGTTTACCTACCTCGATCATTTTTCTCGAGTAAAAACAACCCATATTGGATTTCAACCACTTATCAACTTGCGACGATTTGTAAATAATTACAAACAATAAAGTTTTTAGCGAATTAAAATGACATCTCTAAATACATGAATCTCGTTTTGAAATAAGCACGTCTAGATTTGTGACATACAATTTGACGACCTTCAATCGGGCGTACATTCGGTCAGTATTCAGTAATAATACTTTTTCAATGTAAAAAAGACTTTCATATTATTTTAAGTTTAGTTTTGGACTACCTAAACGTGACACATTTCTTACTATTGAACAGAAAGTAAAATTCTCCTGCTATTCTTCTTACGATGATTTACTTAAAACATAGCCTTTATTCGCACTTCTCTTAGCCGTACGATTTCAAGCCGCATGCTGTTTATTTGCCAGTGGAAAAAGGGCGCATTCCCCAACTCCTAAACTCACCTTTATAGGAGTAATTCCTGTTTCCCTCGGTTTTCTCTACAGTAATAACCGAAACAAACAGTTAATAAGCGCATTTACAATGCAAAATTACTTCCATAACCCTCACATGGCAATCTATTTATCGTAATTGTAAATTACGCTGTCAAATCATAACCCTACTTCCGTTAGCTGATGTCTATTATTTCATTCTACCGCTATAAAACATGGATGATTGTTAAAAAAGAACATTGCAAACATGAAATATAAAAACGTGTTAAAACAAAAGATTTTTTCAATTTTAATTACTACTTATGTTATATTTAATTGCGTACAATCAATCGACAAATGTTCAAAAGACGGGCCTCTAAATCCGGAATATTATCATGTAAAAAAGTGTCACAGATCTAAACTAAATGTATTAGCTAAAGGTAACTATCCTAAGCTATCGAATTGTAAACGATTTGCTTTAGAGAAGAAGGGGTTATCTTTTAATTTTAGCCCTCAAGCAAGAGAAGGGCGTTTAGAGGATACTTGTGAAGTATTGCAGTGCGCAGAAATATCTACAGGCCTGTTAAGGAATAATGATTCAAGATATGACTACTACAGTCTCTTTGGAAATCTTTCATGTGAGTTAAAGAAGTCAGTTTCTACAGTAACTTCTACCACTGATTTATTTATTTTTGATTGACAGTAAATTCAACTTGTGTTCCGTCCTTGGGCATGTTCTATTTTATCTCGAAGAGAGGAAATTATTCAGAATCAGTAGAGGTATGTCGCAACAAGAATGGGGTTTTAGCGGATGTCACAACTGAATATAGAACGAATGCTCTGGCTAAATTGTTAGCAGACGTTGGTGGGGAAGAAGCGTACATAAATCTTAAACGAGACATTAGCAGCGATTTTATTACTACGAACGGTAAACAAATTAAATCTAAATGTTTTATTTACGTTTTTGAGTATTATTAATAATTAAGTGTAGAGTTCTACTACAAATTTACTTTTTATTTATAGGTGATTTACTTGACTGCACATCTTATCGTGCATGGGCTCCTGGTCATCCAAAGAAACGGGGGAAAACAGACTGCGTGACAATTACGAGACATCAAACTTGGCGATCTGTTTCTTGTGAAGTACGACTCGCAGCGATCTGCGAGATTATTCCTGGAAAAAATACAGGAAAACCGTCTTTAAACATCATGTAATGAAAGTGTAATAAAAATGCATTTATTTTTAACAGATGAATCGTTCAATTTAATTAAAAAGAGAATATCTTCTCTACTAACAAACGAGTATGTGTACGTATATTTCTTATTTTGGCTTTCACACACAAATGTAACGAGTACATTTGAAAAAAAAATTGGAAGCATTTAATTGTTTTTAATTTTAGGCTAACCGAGAATGTTAAATTCCTGGTAGGCAAACGGCTTCTTTATTTTCTAATGTGCACGATGAAGTTAGTTTCCTGTTTTTTCGCAAAACGGCATTTTTATTTTTATAGTTTATATTTATATCCTCTTTGTTCCCGGTCATTGTTTGTTTTTTTTTTATTTATTCCTTCGCTTATAATCTGGGACAATACGATATGGCAACACTGAATTAAAACTAATGTCAATTTGACTTTTACAATTGTTTATTTATATTTACCTTTACCTACTTTATATACATTTCTATAATTCTATAATAAATTAAATTAAAAACCAATTTTAAAAGTAAAATGGGACAGGGGAAGAGTCAGTTTTCAGAGGAAGAACTTCAAGATTACGAAGTAAGTAAATTTTGTTAGCGGAAATTCAAACAATAGTCGTCTATGACTAATCCAAGTATATTTGTTTTAGGATCTCACATATTTCACTAAAAAGGAAGTGTTGTAGTGAGTATTCAATATGTTAATTTCATTTATATCAAAAACGTCCGTAAATGGAACATAATTTGATATTTTGTCATTCATTATCCAAAAATCTGTTCTTACAAACAGTTTTTCAATTTACTAATATAGTTATTATTTGTAAATTTAGTACTATTTGTAATGTTACAGCGCTCATCAGAAATTTAAAGCTCTAGCTCCAGAAAAAGTTGGACATAATAAAAATGCCAAATTACCAATGGCAAAAATACTACAATACCCTGAGCTGAGAGTTAATCCATTCAGAGATAGAATATGCAAAGTATTCAGTTCCAGCAATGATGGTGACTGTACATTCGAAGATTTCCTTGACATGATGTCAGTGTTCAGTGAAACTGCTCCAAAAGCAGTGAAAGCTGAACATGCATTTAGAATATTTGGTAAGTGGTACTCTGTAAGGTACCTATATTAAACATATCATTAAATCCACTGCAGATTAACTTTTATAGCTAAAAACACTTGTAAATGAATAATCAAATAAATACAAAGATAAAAAAAAACTTTGCAGATATTCTGAATAAACATTATGTACAAAAAACAATCATTGTAGGAAAAATTCTTCAACACTATAGAAGGCTTATTTATCTTAGCTTGTAACTTATTCTCTAAACATTTTTCCAGTTGTATATATACTGAAACATGTGATAGTTAGACATTTTATGTGTATAATACACATTGGAAATTGTAACCTTGGAGAGGAATACTCATCTGCCTCAACAATAAACATAAGAGTTTAATGTTATTATTAGCTTTAAGTTTTTCACGAAAAAAAATGAATTAAAGCATATGTTCTTGTAGACTTTGATGGCGATGACATGATTGGGGTGTCTGATCTCCGAGAAGTCATTAAACGTCTCTGTGGACCGGAACACAAGTTGAGTGACTCTGAAATCCAACAGCTTGTACAGAATGTGCTAGAAGAAGCTGATCTAGATGATGATGGGGCACTCTCTTTTGCAGAATTTGAGCATATTATTGACAAAAGCTCGGATTTCTGTCAGTAAGTATTAAATAATAAACGTAAACTACAACAGATGCTAAAACTGTTTAAATGAAAGTTAATATTTATCCTACACAAGCACAGTTTTAAATGCTTCAGATCAAACTGACTATTGGTAGTGACAGGTTGTGTATCATGGGTTGCTTTTTATAGCTTATATAACCCCAGCAAAGTATGCTCCAGTCTGCCTACCCTTCTATTATGGATGTGAATTAAAAATTCTGTGTTTAAAGTATTAAATTATTAATTGTGCATATATCTATAAAACATTTTTCTGTTAATGCCGAAATTAATGATGTTTTTTTTTTATTTTCAGCTCATTCCGTATAAGGTTGTGAAGAAATTCTATTGGAATATGAAGAAACATTTAGTACATAAACAAAGTTAATCTCACTAGATCTGATACTATGTATTTTGAATGAAAGACTTAAAATAAATGAAAAACAATTAAATTTAGAGGAAAGCATGGGAAGGAAAAGTGGATTTGGCGGCGGAGGAGACGCATAGGAAGAGGAAAATTCCTCTTTATGTGCGTTTCCTCCTCTGTCAATAAAGGGTAGGCAACACTTCTGCAATTGCGGGTGTTTATGGGCAGCGGTCGCTTTCCATTACGGTGGTTCAGGTGGCCGCTTGCTCGTTTGCCACCTTATATTATAAAAACAAAACACATGAAAAATTGTAACAGATGGCAAAAGGGGGAGGCAAAGCCTAACCAATACTGGTTGAGATCCAATGTCGAGCTGGTTTTCAGCCACCCCCCCTTCCCAAGATGTAAAAGGGAGCATAGACTTGAGGAAATATATTCACTGCCATGTATTAGCAATTCTATAGATGTAGGTTGAGCAGAAAGTAGTAAATCTCATTGTTTAGTAAATTGTGAATGGTTGTTAAAATATTGACTTATTGTATTTTTTTTAATGTTTATTAGAAATTGTCAGTACATATTACTAAATATTTAATAGGTTAAGATTTGTATCTCTTTTTCTAAATGGTTTGTATTCAGGTTGTATTATTTGTAGTCATAATATTATTTATTTTACCGAATCTCTTGTCTATGAAAATTTAAGACATTGGCAGCTTGTGGTTTTTTTATTTACAATTTCGTAATTAAATTATTTTAAAAATGAAGCTATAATGCAGTTTTACTTTTATTAACATAAATTTGAACATGTTAAGAAAATGTGGAAATAAATAAAAGGGTACATTAATTAGTATAAAAATATTTATTCAACTTAATAAAATGTGACATCCTGACATGCATCTTGATTATACTTAGAAATAATTGCTTAGTTTTGCAAATAACCAGGTAGCTTCATTCTCATGAATATCCAAGTTGTACAAAATGAAACCAAAATACATAGAAAGGCAACTGAGATGAGCAGGATTCTGTTCAATTTTGGTGTAGATGGATTATGTGTTCTATCTAATATTATAAAGCCAATACCGCCTAGAGAAAACAGAAAGCTGGATGCTAAACCTTCCATTATATACTGGCCGTTGACTCTGTTAGGCATAAAGGCTACCGGCCGGCTATGACCATGTTCATCTGTCGTGGATCCTACGCTTGGCGGTTCCACTATCACATCATATATTATACCTATAACAAAAATAAAGTTTACAGAAACTTCCAATCTGACTAAATAAAGTCTAATAAGAATAATATCAGAAAAACATCTAACCTCCTGTCACCAAAAAGTACGATAAAAGCACCAACGAAAAGGTTGTCATGGCAGATGGCGGTTGCAGCCATATCGGCTTCTTTATCTTTATATTAGGTATTTCAAGTACTGTAAACGGTAACGCAAATAATGATTCCATTTTATTATTTAGACCAGCAATCAATTTAGGCTATAGACGAATAATTTAACTGAAAACGCCACTTGTGTTGACGTGACGTAGATGACGTTTCGAATTTCATGCATTGAAAATGTGAACTTTGCTTGAAAGATCAAATAATTATTAAATTTATGAGCTGAAATGATTTAAAAGATTATTTATGACATTAAATGATGCTGAACCTTTTGTCGTTTCTTTTCGTAATTTAAAACCTTTAAGTTATTTAAATGATTTTCATTATTTTCTAGCTGCACAATTTCGTGTAAAGGAACGTAAAATATTGTATCAAAAAAGAACCAATCAAGACACATCATGAATGTTAAATGTTTTATTACTATTGGAGGAGATTTCCTAATCAATTATTTTTCTTTGTAAGCACCAATAGCGTTGTAACTCGATACTTGAATTTATAAATGAATAAAAAAATCTTGGGAATTTGGCAACTGTCAAATTTATACGTTTCAACGAAATCGTTCGTTGTCCGAGTTTGTTTTATTTCATTTCAATGTAACTAAATGGTGTGTTTCCGTTATTGTTTAAAAATACAAAACAATGTATATTTTGTGTTTGTGATGTCAGTGAATTGAATTACAGTGTTGAATATGTTTACCAAAGCTATGTGAGAATGTGTTAAAATTTCACACAAAATGAACTGGACTGTGGATTTTTCACTAATCTTACGATGAAGGGTGGATTGTGTATTATTTACACGTCATTACTGACCATTTCAGTTCTATCGAGGTATGGTATTTAATTACACATTCAATTGGTTTATTTTAAAATCTAGAACTAACAAGTAAAATTTAAACAGCTGTGCCCTCTTCATCCTGGTGGTTTCGGAGGCTCTACAGGGAGAGGGCGATAACGTGGACCTCTCAGGGCTTAGTAACGTCAGTCAGAAAGTACCTATAGTAAAGGATGAAATACCAGAAACCCCTGAAACCACTACATATGAGCCGGAGAATAAAAAGAAAGATCTTCAGCAACAAGAGGTGATATTTGCTGAAACTCTGTCAGTGAACTCTGTGACAACTGATGGGTGAGTCCATTATAATAATCTTAATTAGTGAAAGTGAGAGGTGTTTGCCTACAGTGATTTTTTTTTTATTTTTATTGTCAGTAACTAGCCAGCATCTTAATTAACTTTTATCTTTAATTTCAATCATAATTAAAACACTTGTTTTAATTAGACATACATGTTCATTCTTTATTCAAACTAAGAATGGATTATTTATTAATCTTGTTATGGCTTGAGAGCTACCTATGTTGTAAAAGGTTTATTTTGTAGTAGTGATGGACTTTGACTGTTTTATTAAGAATTTAAATTCAAATGTTAAACAATAGAATGTGTTAATCTACTTGGGTCACAACATCATTATTTAAATATATTCTCAGTTGTTTTTTTTTGGACAAAAGGTACCTATTTGTAGTCATAATAAAATACAATTCAATAATAAATGTATGGATTAGTAAATTAATATTTCTTATGCAATATCATACAGTAATTTCATCAAGTGTTTAAAAGTTTCAGCACTCAGTTACTTTGCAATGTAATCAATTCCAATTACCACTAGTTACAATAAACATAACATTGATGTTTGCCTTCCTTTGAAATATTTAACCAACATTTACCATTTATGAACTATATTTCTTGCTTTTATTATACATTCATAGCCCTTGAGTACTGCAGAGTACTATTCATAAGAGAGTAATATTCATTTGAATTATGTTTAATTCATGTTATTTAGAAGATATGAAAGTGAAATTTATCTTTAAAATTAAATCAAGGTTAACAAGCTGTTATGTTTAAAGTTATTGAATATGGGGCACCTTGACTGAGAATAAATAGCGTCCAGAATTATGAAAGGTTATAATAGATTTTTAATTTAATGTATAGGAAATCTTGTTAGCCTACTAGTAATAGTTTATTAACATGAATGTTAGGAAGAGCGATAATTAGACGATAAACAACCATTAGTGTTTGATAAATGTGTGATCCTCCTAATTGATGATTATGGTATGTTCCATAATATATGCCAACAGTACATTGGCATATGTGGAATAGTGTCCGTTACAGTTGGCAGTATGACGTCACGAGAACGTGACGTCCCGTTACTCGAGACGCCGTCATATTGTTGCGGTGGGTGTGACATTTAATCAACTGGTTTTGTTTTCGCGCCAAAAATTATTCGTAAATTGATTAGAACTCTAGTGTATTTAGACTCATCTAAATGTTATGTAAGGTATGTTAGATATGTTTGTAAGGAATAGGCTCCGAAATTACTATATATCCGAAATTACCAAATCACTGAGAAATAGGTTATATTAGTATGGATATGACAGATATGAGAATATATTCTTTGCCATTCAAACGAAGTTTATTCCGATCGCTAGTTATTAAAAAAGTAAAACGTCATTCATCGAAATCTATTTTTCGGTTCGACCTACTGACATAGCAACATATTTCTTTTTGGCAAGCGTTTGCCAACGTATTGTGGAATGCGTTGTACAATGTCACGTGGCTATAGGATATCCGATGTTAACAGAACTGTGTCACTATTAGGACATTCAACTCTGAGATAAAAATGCTTTCTTTGTAGGAGTATTTTTTTTATGGCAACTGATATTTTAATGACGTATTAAGTATTTCAAGTTTGGAAGACACAATTGCATAAATCTTTATACTTTAAGAGACTGTAAAGTATTAAAACTTCCATATAATTATTATCTGTTTATATTTAAATATTTTTTTTTTGTCTAATCATGACATAAGATGTAGGTAAAGAAAATATTTTTCTAAGATAAGAGGCCATGTGCCTCTTGTCGCAAAATATTTTCACGTTAGTGATAAGCTTAATATTAATTATGCGGCCAAATATTGAAACGACTTTTAAATATGTAACAGCGTTTTAAATGATAAGGACATAATTAAACTTCAAAATCCAATAACATTTTAACGTTTGAAATATTTAAGCGGCGATAAATAATCAAAGTTTTTGAAAGTCTTTTCAGTATCCGGCCGTTAATGATACAACGTCACGATAGACGCTTAAGTTATTTGAGACTTTATTTAGTTTTAAATTTTGTCTTTTCTCTCAACTTTTCTTCACACAATGCACAATTAACGTTTTTTTACCTTATTACTAGTTCATTGTTTTCGACGTCTGTGTAAACTCGATTACTATTCATTTCCATGCCATTTGTAAAACCTTTTGAAATGGAATAATTAGCGGACGTTTACATATGCTTTATATATTTGTTTTTTATGTTTTTAACCTTGCAAGTTAAATTAAAATCATGTAAATAGTTTTTATCATTTATTCAATGAGTACCTTTACTAATTTTTTTCCTAAAATGAGCTATCGCCTGCAAACTTTGTTAGCGTAAATTTGGACCACCCCTTAGTTCATTTTGCGAGCACGGAATTAAAAAGAAATAGCTTTTAATATGGTCGTCTATGCCTGCTACACTTTAGTGAAAGTCAGGTCGAAATCGGTCCAGCCGTTTCGGAGATTACCCGGAATAAACGCGGCTTGCGGCAGTCACAGAAAAAAATTTCCCAAAATCTGGTATTTTTCTTTTGATATTACAAACAGACACTCTAATTTTGTAATATGTATGTATGTATAATATATAGTAAATGTTAATGGTGTAAGTACTAAAATTAGTAAGCGCCATCGTGACTTCGGTGCCCGAGTCGCTTTGTCATTCCGGTATTTTTTCTTTGCGATTGTATCGACAAAAACGTGTCCAGTTTCAAGCGAAACGTAACCACTTCGTTTGAAAATGAAATTAAAATGAATCTAAATATAGAGCCGTTTATTAATACTTTTATGATTATCTCTATGTTTCTTATAATTAGAAGAAATTCACAATGCCCTGTTTTTAATGTTAACTGAACTTTTTACACTGTCGTTTTAGTATTTCAATAGGAGATTTAAAAGTAAATTGCTACTGTGAAAATAATAGATATCTTCAAAGGAGATTTAGAATCACTTGTTATGAGGTTTTTGTAATAAAATTGAATTGATTTGTTAATCTTGTGCGCATGCTCGCGTCAAATCGATTACTTTCGCGACTTGTATATTGCGTATACAGAAGTATTGAAAATTCAACGCTATTATGACATGAACATATTAAAACTACGGAATATCTACTATTTTAAATTAACTTTATGGAGCTCAGGTTCATAATTTGCTTTTCCAATTTTGTTATTTTTAACTAACTTGAAATATGTCCAAGGCTGTATTTACAAAGCTATTAAAACTTCAATTCTGTTATAGCCGTTATTAAATAGCATGTCGTTAACATTTTAATCTACTTTATTGTACTAATATCGCAATTTAAATTAAAAAAAAAAACTTGGATAAAGGCAGGTACACATGTCACACTTGCATGTAAATAGGCACATCCTAGATGTAGGCACTGTAAACTGGCTTGCCAGGCCTGGTATCCTAGTAGCACGATATTTGTTCACGTGGCAGTAACTGGCATATAAATACAACTAAATCCTCTTTACTCGAGAATGGGTAAAAGAGATGGAGTTCTTTACGACATGAGAATTGTCACTGAAACTTCTCATTTCGTGAACTGGCATGCAAACTACTATTCAATTTTACTACATGTATTCCCGCCCTAACATTTCTAACGAGAATCGTTCGCTTTCGCTTCAAATTTAAAGTCCAATCATTTTAATATTCTATTTCATGTACTTTTAAACATAAACATCTTAATCTCCACTATGTAAGTACAACTAAAACAAACTGGGAACATAAGCTTTTAACGTATATGGGAATGACAAATACAAAGTGTAGGTCGCGGCGACTACGTGAACTCTAGTCGTGTGACCCACAATGTACATTCGCACACAACGCATGTATTATCTATGCAGACAAGTAATTTTTTTTCTAATTGTACTGAAAACTGTCAGTGTCTTTGAAAAAAAAAACTGTCATCATAAGTTTTCAAACTAATTGCATTGTAATTAAATGTGACATTTAATTGTAATGGATAGGGAATAAATGTCTTTAACTGTACTTGCTTTTTTCTTACGTTTAAGTCCGATGTAGTTGGAGG